CTAAGTGTTGGATCTAGGAGTTTATTCTCGGAGTTGGAGCTAAGAGTTGTAACTAGGCTTGGTCATCATCATTAAGCCTGTCCAGAATGGCGAGTGTGGTCAGCATAAATATCCCAGCTGCCTGTGTGTTCATGTTGACGGTTTGCTTTCAGGTAATTTCCCAAAGATCATGACATTTCACTCATGAATTAGATATTTGCAGCCGCGGCTCATTAAAACGAACCCACTCCAGTATTTTATATTCCGAGATACTCTCCGTGCGATGAACGACTCTTGTGGACATTTCTGATGCTTTTTTTAAATTACGAATTGCACCGAATATTATTCAATTCGCTTTTTTTCTGATACCACATGAAAACCCATGAACACGTTTCAGTTCTCACCACCGACTTCGCGCACCAAGTCAACGATGCGAGTGTTTGTTTGTTTTATATTATCGCAACGCGTCAAAGTTTAATAACATGACCGGATAAAAAAAGAAAACAACATGACTAAATCATCGCAACGCATCAAAGTTACCACTGCAGATATTTAACCGTAAACATAGCGCGCGCCTTTGGGCAGAGACAATCGCCTAACAGCGGTGACAGCGAACAAATTTGGTCATGTTATTAACGTTCGTCGGAAGCCTTAATACAAGTTCGCGACGGCTGAGGAGGAGCGTGCAGGGGCTGCTATTGCGTCCCGTGCTTATCAAGCGACCTTTTTTTTAAACGCCGACTTTGTGTCATTGACTCAAAGACGAGATCGGTGTTTCCGTTGGGCACGAGACTGCAATTTAAAGCCTTCCCCTCCCCCAACACCAAAACAACCGCCATTCGCCACGAAGTGACGGTGATGTCACCACGGCCCCTGTGCCAGGCTAGGTGCATTTTAAGGCCACTTAAAGTGTCGAAGGCTCGCTGGCAGGAGGTCTCGGGAACAGACCCAGCAGGTGCCATGGGTTAGCCGACTGAGATTCGCCTCCCTCACCCGCCTCTCCACCCCCACCCTCGTCCCCCTCACCCCCTCTCTTCCCCCCACCCCATGCCCACCACTGATTCATTCTACCCACACCAACTACCCGGAGCTTGTGCAAGAACACAATTGCGAACACAAATAAGCACGGCTTGGGGAAAGCAGCCTTGCAATGGACAAACGCAAAATTTAAATCTAAAATGCTTTCAGAGTCGGCGGGTTTGCGACATCAAGTGTCCTGTAAATTGCACCCTCACGGGGGTTGTTGTTTGTTGATGTTGTTGCCGCTTCTTTGTCTGTCCCTGCGTCGAATGCGCCACGAGTTCGAACCCGCGTTGTGAATTTGCCACGACGGCACTCCGGTGGGGTGTAAGGAAGGGTGGGGGGGGTGAGATGCGAACGCGTGCCTTCTTTTTACCCGCACGCACGCGATAGAATTCGTGGCACGCACGCGCACGCACGCGCACGCACGAACGAACGCGCACAACCTCTTGGTGCAACATCGAGAGGAGCCGGGCTTCCTCCTATGCAGGCCGAACGTTCCCCCCGCTGTGGCGGCGCGACGATGTCTTTGTTTCCCCCTCTTGATCGACGAGCCATCGCACTCCCCTCGCTGTATGTACGCCAGTACGTTGAACTTCTCTCGCACCGTACGTAGCCAACCGTGCCAATCGGAGGTGGCGGCGGCGGCGGGGAGGGGGCAACAAGACTGAACACCGTTGTATAGGCACAGTGCCACCTCGACTGTGCAGACGCAGTTTACACATTACGCATCCCGCTTTTATTATTAGTTTTTTCGGTAAAGTCACGTAGGTAACCCTTGGGCGACACCCATTTCAAACCTTTAAAACAGTCTGCATCAGCAGCAGGCCACGCTTTCACACCTGATGATGGACGCTTGTGTTGCGCCCGAAACGTCGTGATTTATTTTATTTTTCTACCTACGTGACTTTACCGAAAGAACCAAAGAGTATGGATTCCTGCAGTCACGAAAACTTCAAATCGAGATGTAATTAGTTTGTTTATTATCCCCTCCCTCCCCAGTGAAGTTAGGGAGCAATGGTGCAGTGAGGAGCAAGCACAGGAGCTGGGGTCTGGGGCGGACACCTTTCCACCCGATACCCCTCCGTGTAAATGTGTCTGACAATTGCCCCGTCACGACCGTCAGTCGTGAGCTGTCGCGTTGTAAGGGAAATGGAGTCGTCGGTCGCAGTCGTGACCAATGCTTACAGAACGAACCTCGGTCGCTTAACATCACTTTGTTTGATTGGCTCGACCAGCGGGTCTTAATCTTTACTGCGGCCTTACACCCCTTTGGTTCTCAATCGTAAAAAAAAAGTGTAATGCTTGATGAAATAAAGTAAGTTGTTACTTACGTGCCCGTGTTTAATTTGTTTTTTCGATTATTTACTTTAAAAAAATCTGGCCATGTCTCGCACCCCCAGGGGGTGCGTGCACGCCAACTTAAGAACCAACGGGCTTGAACAAGAGGTGAAGGTGAAACAAGAAGTAATGGTGGTACTCTCACTTTCGCCCAGAAACGATCACCGCTAAGCCACTTCGATTCTCGGCGTCTCGCGTCATTAAAGCACCCACAGGTAACCACTCGGCTGCCCGCCAGCCAATCTCTGCAATATGTTCGATTCCTTCACGTGATGCGGTGATTTTCTGTTGTTTTGTTCCGATCGCCATTTGCTTCTTCGTCGCTGTTGTTTTTGATTGTCTTTGCTTTTTTATTTTTAGGTCGACACTCTTGAGGCTCTATCCTGGTCACTACTGCGAGTTCTCGGCTGGTTACACAACACGAAATCTGACCCTATTGTTACGGCGGTGCTGCTCTGTTTTGTAGAGATTGGACAGCGAAACTCCGTGGCTCTAACTTCATGCGGCTCCCGTGTGGCGATTTGAAACTCGCACGGCACAAAAAAATCCCCGCCCGCCTCGGCCATGTGCAACAAATTTCGTCTCGTTGGCCGCTGCTTGGAGTGCATCTTAGCGCGCAAAAGAAACACGAGAGATTTGAAACCTTGCGCTGCGGCTAAAATGAAAGCGTACAGCACGCAGAAGATGTCGTCTCCTCCGTTTGCAGAACGAATACGTTAAAAGGTCGCGCTCATAATTATCCATGCAGCAGCGGCATATGGCTCGCCATCAAAGACGGTGACCGCATCGCGCACTTTCAGATGCGCTTCTGCGGCCGTCTGGAACGGTCTTCCTTTCGCTATTAGAAAGCCACTGGATGAAGTGAAGCCACTTTTAAATCATTCAATTGAAAGCTCACTTCTTTAGAACTGCTTTTTGTGTTCAGTTTGTTGTCTTCCCCCCCCCCCCACCACACCTCCGATTAGCACGGTTGGCTACGTACGGTGCTAAAATAAGTTCAACATACGTACGTTCATACACACGCGCACGCAATCGCACAGAGACAACGAATCTCCTCGTGTGGCCCTCATCGATAACGTTCAAAATCTGATGCTGTCAGCGAGCACCTAGCGAGGCTGGCACGGCGGTGGTGTCGCCAACGCAATGTCAGCCCACCCGCCCGGGCTGCCCGGCCTTGTCACTTCATTGCTCCCGCCTCACCAAAAAACCCCACACACACAGTGGCCGAAAGTGATTTACTTAATACTTGCATTTTGAGGTGCAATTTCGAGATGATAATTGTGATGCGATTTGCGCGAACGACGCTACGCGAATGATCAATTCTCATCATTGTCACGTCCAGCTGGATGGATTGGAACACCGTGGTCTGTGTAGAACCCCGTGGTGTAAATGTGAGTGTTTCTTGTCGGGATCTCACCCGTCAAATCGTGTTTGTTCACTTCTCCCAGCGCGTTTTGTTCACTTCTACCCACTACGCAAGTGCTCGCGCACCGGTTTGTTAACAACGCTCATAAAACTTTGAACACGTGCTACGCAGATTTTTTTTTACATCTCGTTGCTCGTATTCAACGCCTGGGATGTAAGACAAAGATCCCCCCCAGCCGTGTAGCCTTAACAGACGGCTGGGGCAAGTGCTTGTAGCGAGCAGCAGCTACAAAGGCCGGCACGGCACCCCTACTCGGTTCTTTTCGCCGTTGCCTCGTCCGGAGGGATTTTCCCGCTCCGCTTTGAGCTGCGTTCAATATCAGTGACAGCCAATTTTACGTGCCTTCCATTCCTTGTGCAATATCAATAGATGCGATCGCGCCGTTTAAAACCGCGTGCGTGGGAACTGGATACCGTCAAAGTCGCGGGTGCGAATTTAGAGTCCGCATGTGTGTCGCCTGGTCAAGCCACGGTCATCGATTCGTAAAAATATTTGTTATTATGTTTAACTTCTTTTAAAACGTGCCATCGTCCATTGAGATGCAGCAGCATTGTGATCTTGACCTGGGTACACAGACGTGGTAAAAAAGAATTATATATTTTAAATAATTTAATGAGCACACCCCACTGCGTATGCTTTTCGCGGAATTAACATCCGTCATGTTTTCGTGTTGTTACCGCGCGCTGTCCGACGTTTCGCTCCCGCGTGCCACGAGCTCGGTCAGGAACCGCGCCGGGCAGCTCGCCGTCGATCACGAAAACTGGGAGCCGGAATGCGGCACAATGAATACGCGACCGTCGCACTCTCGCGGACGACGGGAAGGGGGGGGGGGGGGAAGGCCACGCCACGCGCGTGCACGAACAAACAAATGAGAGAGCGAGCGGGGGACGCGTCCCGGTCGGCAAGCTCGCGGACGAGTCTTGGTCCCGCCCACCGGGTGACGTCACAGTGGGGAGTTGTCACCTAACGAGCGTGATGGACGGAGACCCCTTCCTCCCCCCCTCCCTCAGCATGCGACCGTCAGGGGGGGGGAGGGGTTGGGGGTCGCTTTCTCGCAGGCAGTGGCGCGCTATAAACGTGGTCGGATCGCTCCTTTCGCCTCCGTCGTGGGCCGTGACTCGCCGACAATCGCCGCGCCAATCCCGGGGGGGGTGGGGGGGGGGTCCGCGCTGACGACGCAGCCTGGTAGACTCCTCCGGGGTAGACGTCGATTTCCACGTCCCCCCCCCCAAGCAGCATGGTAGCTGTTAAATGCACGGCAGCAGGGGTGGCAGCGGTGCGGCGTGGCGCGGTGCCCCTCATCGCGAGTCCACGCCTTTGCCGTTGCTGGTGCCTTCGGGAGTCGGAGGCTCTGGGCGGTCGCACGAGTGCTCCCGGAGCTGGTGCAGCTCCTCCCAGCGGCGCCGGTTCGCCACGATGCCGTCCAGCATCGGCCGCAGCCGGGAGCTCACCGTCACCAGCGTCTGTGGTGGCGGGGGAGGGTTGGGTGGGGGGGGGGGAATCGATGGGGGGGGGGGGTCACAGAAGGGAGCAGTTGGCACAAATCTGTCACCAATTCCTAACGAGTGTAACGGAAGGGAACTCCCCAGCACCTTACCATCAGGGGGCGTCGCATTCTCGCAAGGTGTGGTGGGTAATTGTTAGGCGTAGTACGCTTAATCTTATTTGTATTTTTGTATTTTAAGATTGTTTAATACGGCTAATTAACATTTTACATTCGCATTTTATAAGGTCTACTTATTCATAATTTTAAAGATTTTAGCCCTTTGGTATTACTTATACTTTGTAACGTTAGTATAGTTAGAGTGTATACCTTTTATATAAGTTAAGATTCCTACTTGTTCAATGTATGCACCGTCCCGCCATAGTGAATTCCTTGTTTGTGCAAACTTACATGGCGATTAAAACCGTTTCTGATTCTGATTCTGCCACCACTGCGGGAAAATGTACCTCCAGGCAAGGCCCAACAGGGGGCGATAGCGGGTCCGGTCTGTACTCAGTAGGACGCGTGGGTCCGGCAATCTGGGGGGCGGTTAGGAACCGGAGGGGGACACCCCAGGCCCCCAGTGGGGGCTGGGGGGATTGCGCAACAATCTAGGTCCCTCCAGAAGGTTCCAGAGAGTGGTGGTTGTGGCCAGGGGCGGAGTGACCCTTGGAGCCCCATAAAAGCCGGACCCCAGCGCAGCTCGGGCAGTCAGCGTCAAGCCGGAGACCCAAGAGCTCGCCCGAAAATAGGACCCTGGACCCCAAGCTCTGCCATCCTTCTAAGGGCTGGAGCTCAGTGAGGCCAGTGGTCAGAAGGCTAGGACCCTGCGGATCCCTGGACCCAACGTCCTTATCAGGGCCGGTTCTGAGTGGGCCAGTGGTCGGGACCCGAGAACCTTGGCTGGGTCGGGTCAGCCTCCCCTAGGTCCCGTTAGCCGGAGGGCTAAGAGTAGGTGGTCCCAGTAGCTAGGACACGTTCGCCCGGAGGCGATGCCTCCTGAGGTCGTTGGGTAGAAGGGTCCATTACCCCTTCGTGTTAGGGACCTCATATGCTATTGTTATTGCTAAATAAATGTGTTGCCTCCTAAGAAGACTCCGTCTCCATATAACCCACTACACAAGCATTGGCGCACGCTAAGTCGGTGTCCGTTCATGTCACCGTTATAAGCCATGATCTAGCCACTGCTGGACGATTTCATGGCTCCATCTCCAATTGCATCGCTCCATCTCGGATCGAATCGCCTCCATCTCTGATTGAATCGCTCCGTCTCTATGGCGTGGACATAGCCTCCCTCGTGCACTTTGGTGGTTATCTCTCAAAATCCCAGCCTGACGACACAATATACTGTGCTGCGTGTATCTTTCCCTTCTGCCATAACCCCCATGTGAGTGGGGGAGGTGGAGCCTGTCTCTGTAGGATCAAGTCTGAACGTCTGCCTGCTCAGGCGGGGTGATGATGCGCTTCTGTGCATCGTGCGCGCTTTCAGATGCGCTTCTCCGGCCGTCTGGGACACTCTTCCAATATTAGGAAACCACTGGAACTACGCGACTTTTAAATTATCTAGACTGACGAACTCATTTCCTTAGAACTTATTTTCGTGTTTAGTTTGTTGTCCTTCCCCCGCGCCTCCGATGAGCGTCGAGCGTAGTACATCGCATCTCGCCCAACTTCATCACTACGTTATCTACGGGGAAAATAGTTTTCGTGGAACGCCTTTTTCGCTTGCCGCGGCACTTCTCAGTAACGAATCTCCCGCGTTCAACGAAGACTTACTTGTACATTAATTAACGTTTCTGCGTTGCCCCCCCCTCGCCCACCCCTTGCTGGCCAACACGAAGCCCTACAGCTGTCATGGGCACAGCGGTGGCCCCATTAGGAACACTATCCGGGCTAAAAAAGTCTCTGCTTAGTTTTCCGAGAAGTGATGGAATCGGGCGGCGCACTCCGGGGCGATGCTGCCTGCAGGCTATTCAGGGTGGCCCTGAAGAGAGCCAAAGGCAAACGCTCGCGAATGCGATGCGTGTGATTAGCATGTCGCATAATGCACGCAAGCCGCATGTTCTACGTTGCTTCATTAAACCGCGCGTACATTGCCGCAGTTTTGATACTGTTGCCTCCCTATGCGCACTCTCAACCCACTCGCCAAAGTTATCCTCCAGCAAATTCAAGTGTGCGTACGCAATTACTGAGCCAAAAAGTTAATATTTATGATTTGAACAAAGCATAAAATGTTCAACGTGAAACGTGATTTCAGCTTTGGGGAAATTTGTATTGTTTTTATATCCACTCACATTGAAATAGATGCGTTTAGATTGTTTGGCTGCTACAAATTTCCACATAATAAGCAATTTCGTTGTCGCCAGGATGCTTTTGAAAAATACGTTATTATCTCAATGGGGGTTTATCTGGTAGGACGGGGATGGTTAAGTTGTGTTTGTATGTGTGTTGGTTATTTGTTTACCTCTCTTGTAATTTGCACTCCAATCATGTTTTTGTATTGTTTGTTGTTGTAACGTTCTTACCTGCCCCGACTGGACATCTGTGAAAAAGAGCTTCATAGCTCATCAGATTTCTCCAGTGTTAATATTTTCTCTCTCTCTTGCTCTTCATCAATTTCTCTCCGTCTCTGTCCATTCTGAATGGTCTCACAAGCCTTATCGCTGCTGCTGCCGTTGCTGCTGTCGCCTCGCTGGCCAATGGTGGCGGCTATTGGGGTAGAGAACTCACAACGAAATAAATGATCCAGCAGTAAAGTCCCCCCCCCCCCCCCGCGGCAAATCTCGTGGCGTCAGCAAAAAAAAAAGCGAGCGACCCCAACTGAGAAGCGCTCGCGGGACACTGCTGCGCCCGGGAGGAGCGGAGGTGCTGAGCCGCGTCGAGTTAACCCCACTGCATGTGCACGTAGTGTACCTACGTACGTACGTTGAACTTCTTTCGCACTCTACGTGGCCAACCGGAGGGTGCGAAGTTTGCATGCCCCCCCCACCACCACCATCCCCACACTCCGCTACTGCTGTGCCAGCTCAGTCCCACCGTGGATGAGAGCCACTGGCCGCTGCTGCTGCTGCTGCTGCTTGCGACGTATCGGGGAGCCGAGCCGTGCCCCACCGAGCGCTGTGAGCCGACATGAGCACGGCGCGATGAGTCCCCGCGCTGTGCTCGCATTGTGCCGGCCGTGCCTCGTCAAAACGGCTCTCGCTTGAATTTTTATAGTTATTTTTTCTGACACGCACGCAGTCTAAGTAGTACCTCCTACTGCTGTATTCTCAGCCGTGACTACGAACTCCCAGCCATTTTAATGAGGGCGAAGTTACATTTTGCAGCTTGTCGCAAAACGAGCCCCCCCCCCCCCCCGCACCGCAGTGAATACGGCCGGCACAGCTCCTCTGCCACAGGGCCCAAGCGGCACCAGCGGAGCGGTACTCATCATCAGGGTTAGCTCGGCCCTCTTGAGCCAATGAGAGAGTGTGCCCGTGCGAATGATATAATGGAAAGCGATGTATTCGTTCACTCGTTAATGCCTCTCTGAGTTACGAGGTCCCTTTTTTCAAGAGGGCTCTGCCTGGGATGTTTTGCCAAAAGTTAATGTATTCACGATTTGTGTCTGCTGGTGGAAATTGGCCTGGGTGGGTGGGTGGATTGGTGGGTGGTTGGGTGGGTTAGTGGGTGGGTGGTGGGTGGGTGGGTTAGTGGGTGGGTGGTGGGTGGGTGGTGGGTGGGTGGTGGTTGGGTGGGTTAGTGGGTGGGTGGTGGGTGGGTGGGTGGTGGGTGGGTGGGTGCGTGGCGAGCGAGTCCTCCCATTGCGGCAAAGAGTGGAAGTTCACGCTCGCATATGTAAACAATAATGCTCACTCACAGCAGCATTAACAAATAATGGAACGTGGGGGCTGGGTGTCTTTAATGAAGGTGCATTGGATGCGTGTAAATCACACGCAACTTGCCCCGTTTGCACGAAAATGTTCGCGCGGTTCGTTGATAGGGAAACCGATGACAAATGCCGCGCACTTCATACGCTCGTAAATTGCAATGTACGGTGCGTGTCGTTATAAGGACGATAATAATAATGATGCTGAAGGGAAACCGGTTGTTATTGTGAAAGCACTCCTTGGTACAAATAAAGAAAAGGAATAGTAATTTTAAACAAAAAAATGTTTAATGAAAAGAAATTGCCCTATGCAAAGCCGCAGCGTTTTGATTCCAGCATCAAAATGTGGTGCGAGCGCTGACGCAGTGCTCACGTCAATGAGGTCCTGGTAGACGGTGCGAATTAATAAATTGTTATTTTCGCAAGCCAAGACCCGTTTTACACGCTCGCGTGAAACGGTGAGGTTGGGGTGCCGGGGTGGGGGGCGGAATGTGTTGGGCTGAGTGTGAGTATGAGCACATGCGTGGGTACATATATACGGGTAACGAAGATAAATGTCCCCCGTATAGCCTTAACAGACCGTTGGGGCAAGTGGTGTTAGCGAGCACATATGAAGGCCGGCACGGCACACCGAGGGGGTGGGTGGCCAGCACCACGCCCAGGCACCTTTGTTTCCCCAGTGGCGATGTTTACACACCGCACCAGGTACTCATTTACAGGTTGAGTCGACCTAGGGGAGGCCCAGGACCGATTCAGATAATCGGCACTGGTTTTGGCCGTGCATTACGACTGCAGGCATTGTGGTCTATGCAAACATGACTCCTTGTAAAAAAAGCTGTCAGTTTTGTTGCCAGAAAAAAGGGTAAAAAAACCAATCATCGAGTTCATATTCTTAGGTTTTTTCGGTAAAGTCACGTAGGTAAAACATTAAAATTAATAAAAGTAAAATAAAATAAAAATCACGACGTTTCGGAAGCAACACAAGCTTCCGTCTTCAGGTGGAACCGTCACAGCCCGACAGCTTTATCAAGTAAATGAGAGATTACAGGAGATACCACTCCGTATATAATGGATGAGGAGGGGAGGGGCAGGGATGGCCCACTTTTTATTATTATGGTAAGGTGCGGTTTGAGACTATGAATAGACTGCATAACAAAGGACTGAGCCTTTATTATGGAGAGGTTCGGTTTGTGACTACGCCTAGCCTACATAATAAAAGTGTGAAAAAAGAAGAAAGCTAAACCTGGTAGAAAGCTAAACCTGGTGAAACAACTGGCTGTCCATCAGTAACCTGCAATAGTTTTTTGTCAAATAAGATGGTTCAAATAAGTGTAGTTAAATCTTTTTGCATGGTTAATCACATCTTTCCAATGATTAAAGGTGCGGCTTGAGACAATGAATAGACTGCATAACAAAAGACTGAGCCTTTATTATGGAGAGGTTCGGTTTGTGACTACGCCTGGCCTGCATAACAAAAGTGTGAAAAAATAAAGCTTAACCTGGTAGAAAGCTAAACATGGTAAAACAAAACTGGCTGTCTATCAGTAACCTGTAATAGTTTTCTGTCAAATAAGATGGTCCAAATAAGCGTAGTTAAATCTTTTTTGCATGGTTAATCACATCTTTCCAATGATTACTCAGTTTGTAACCATCATCACGGTTGAAATTATGTCTGTGTTTGTATATTTGTATGGCTTCGTGTACAAACCTTTGATGGTAGCCAGGAGGTTTGCAGAGAACCTTGGTCTCGGAAAAGAATGGTAGTTTACCGTCTTTCTTGGATATTCTGTTTGAGAGGAGGCCTGACGGATCCTTGGGACATTCTGTCTACAGGAAAGCCACCCACACAGATTCCTACTTGAAACCGGATTCCCACCACCACCCATCTCAAAAGAATTCTCTCATCAAAACGCTATACCACAGAGCCCATGGCATTTCTGACCAACACTACCTGGCCGGTGAATTAAGACATGTACATCGGGCCCTCAGGATGAACGGATACTCTGACCGCACTATCCGCCAAGCTGTTTCTCCCACCACACAGAAACAGCCACATGAAACTCCGACCAAAACTATCACGTTACCATACATAGCAGGCGTGACCAAAAAGATCTCCAAAATTCTAAACAAACATAAGATCCAAGTCCGATTCAGTACAGTGCATAAAATCCGTGATCTGATTCCATCTGTGAAGGATGTCGTTCCTGACTTACAGTACCCTGGAGTCTACAAATTGAGTTGCATTTGTGGTGATTGCTACATTGGAGAAACGAAACGTCATGTTTCTGATCGTGTCCGCGAGCACAAGTCAGATCTGAAACACGGCAGAACTGATTCTTCGGCCATTGCCGATCATTGCTACAACTCGGTGGGCTCTCATGAAATTGTCTTTTCCGAGACCAAGGTTCTCTGCAAACCTCCTGGCTACCATCAAAGGTTTGTACACGAAGCCATACAAATATACAAACACAGACATAATTTCAACTGTGATGATGGTTACAAACTGAGTAATCATTGGAAAGATGTGATTAACCATGCAAAAAAGATTTAACTACACTTATTTGGACCATCTTATTTGACAGAAAACTATTACAGGTTACTGATAGACAGCCAGTTTTGTTTTACCATGTTTAGCTTTCTACCAGGTTAAGCTTTCTTTTTTCACACTTTTGTTATACAGGCCAGGCGTAGTCACAAACCGAACCTCTCCATAATAAAGGCTCAGTCTTTTGTTATGCAGTCTATTCATAGTCTCAAGCCGCACCTTTAATCATTGGAAAGATGTGATTAACCATGCAAAAAAGATTTAACTACACTTATTTGAACCATCTTATTTGACAGAAAACTATTGCAGGTTACTGATGGACAGCTAGTTGTTTCACCAGGTTTAGCTTTCTACCAGGTTTAGCTTTCTTCTTTTTTCACACTTTTATTATGTAGGCTAGGCGTAGTCACAAACCGAACCTCTCCATAATAAAGGCTCAGTCTTTTGTTATGCAGTCTATTCATAGTCTCAAACCGCACCTTACCATAATAATAAAAAGTGGGCCATCCCTGCCCCCCCCCCTCAACCATTATATATACGGAGTGGTATCTCCTGTAATCTGTCATTTACTTGATACAGCTGTCGGGCTGTGACGGTTCCACCTGAAGACGGAAGCTTGTGTTGCTTCGAAACGTCGTGATTTTTATTTTATTTTACTTTTATTAATTTTAATGTTTTACCTATGCGACTTTACCGAAAAAACCTAAGAATATGAATCATTGCAGTCACGAAAGCTTCAAATCTAGAATCAATTATCGAGTGTCAGGGTCGCTACTCTGCTGTATTGAAGTTATCTGTAATAAATACGTGTTGCCTCAAGTCAACCCTCTCAGTCGTCATAAAGGCCACTACATATGTACAAACATATACATTTCCCTTTGCCGCAATTAAAACTAAACACAACGTTCTCCTGAAAAATTGGATACCCGCCGCATTAAGGGTGAGCAAAGCAATGCCACCCTATGCCGGGCACTGTGCACAGCGGTGACAAACGGCTCACCTTCCCTGGCTCCGGTGAAACCCGTCCGTGCGTGCAATGCGATTCGGCATTCATGCATGGCTCTATGTTGAACTTATTTCGCACCGTATGTAGCCAACCATGCTAATCGGCTAAGCACACACGTATCCGTGATCATGTGTGTCGGTATATACACAGCGTGTGAGAATCCGCTCTAAATTATACTATATTAAGCAAAACTATGTTTTACTTTACCAGCTATACAGCTCTTTTTCAGAAGCGACCTGGCCATCACAAATGGTAGCTCAACGAAGTGGCTTTTCATCATGTGGACATTTTATATCAGCCAAATAATTCCAAACTATTGACGTTTATTCTAAACGTGGAGGGGAAAAATAACCCGGACAAAATAAGTGTGGCACTCCTGGATAAATGCGGAAATAATAACTTATTTAATAATAAAATAAGTGAGAGACAGACAGACGGATGACAGGGCCGGTGCACGTTCGGGATCTTGCCTGGTAGAGGGGTAGACAAATGCTATCGATCCACTCGAGCTGGAGCCCTGGCAACTCGTCCTTACGGTTTCGATCAAAGATCGCCTGCGCACGGCCGACGACACAAGGTGGGGGGCGGGTGGGGGTGCGGCAAGTTTCACTCTCAACGCACGGGGACTGCCAAGTAGCGCAATGCTGTGCGAGAACACCATCCGCAGTTCGGCAAAGCTGCACGAGCCCGTTGACGACGTCAGAGTAGGTGGATCACGGAGAGACGGCGTTAAGAGAAGAGCCGGGTGGTTTGCAACGCGGCCGCTTTCTCTGCCCTGGCAGCTCCCCACCGTCTCCGGACCCGCCAACCGCTCTCGACCCTCAATGCTTTGTCGTGGACCACTGTGCTCTGGCATCATCAAATCGTTTCGAAATTCAGAATAAGAATCAAAATATTTATTTATACTGGAGGAATCTGACCCTACCGGACAAAGCCCACTGAGGTAATAACAAATTGGCCCATCATCATTTGGACATTTCTAGCAGAAAAATTTGCGAAATAGTCTAAAAGACATGTTTCAAAATCGTACAGAGTTTGCAACAGTTCCGTGGACGAACTGCCCATGGCCCCAGCGCACCGCAGCTTCAGGAACCTCACTGCTCTACCCACGGCACGCACTCTGCCCTCTCAAAGGATTGCAGTGACCGCCGTACCCCCCTCCCCGCCACATGAACCGCCAACTCACCCCCTGTGGACCAGATCTCCCGGGAGAAACGGCGGAGGAAGTCGAGTCGCGGTGCGAGAAATAATTTAATTGCCGTCGTCGCTTCAGCCAGCCGCTCCAAGCCGCTGTCGATTCCACCCCCCACCCCCCCTATCCCCACCAGTCGATGTGTGTGTCTTTTTTGCCCGGGCAACGCCAGATGTCTGTGTGTGTACGTCGATGTGTGTGTGTGTAAGTCCAAGTGTGTGTGTCAGTCGCTGTGTGTTAGTCGATGTGTGTGCATGGCTCCATGTGAGTGTGTAAGTCACTGTATGTGTGTGTCCATGTGTATCAGTCGATGTGTGTGTGTACGGCGATGTGTATGTGTGAGTCCATATGTGTGTGTTAGTCCATATGTGTGTGTAAGTCTAGATGTGTGTAAGTCAATGTGTGTGTGTGAGTCCCTATGTGTGAGTGTAGGCCAATATGTGTGTTAGTCTATGTATGTGTGTGTGAGTCCATGTGTGTGTGTCTCTTAGTCGATATGTGTGTGTGTAAGTCCATATGTGTGCTTAGGTCGATATGTGAGAGTCTACGTATGTGTGTGTGTGTGAGTCGCTGTATGTGTGTACGTCGATTTGTGTGTGTAACTCCATGTGTGTGTATCTAAAGTCGATGTGTTTGTGTGTGTGGGTCAATGTCTGTGTGTGTGTCTGTCTTTTTCGCCCGGGCAACGTCGGGTACTTACCGCTAGTATCTTATCTAAAAAAGTCATTTTTTGTCTGTCTGTCTGTCTGCGCACGCGCGCTTTTGAGGGATTTGGCTCACGAACCGTGGGGTTTACGTAAAAACTTAAATATAAAAAGAAATAGCTAGGCACCACGCCGTAAGCGCCGTGCTTGGCATAGGCTATTCCTTTTCCACATCCGTCACCTTTAAATTTGTAAAAATTGCGTTTTTGTGCGATTTCTCTTTATTTATTTATTTCCCTGCCCCGCTCAAGCTGCACGGGGGTTGCCCCTGGCAACGCACGCACGTCATTAGTGGAGGGTGGGGTGATTTCTCCTTCGCATTCAAAATGTAAAAAAAATACATGCAACGCTGATGTAAATTCATCAAAGTGTCATGTCCTCTTCTCTCCCCCCCCACCCCAATGTATGCACTTACTACTATAGGGTCGGTCGATACTAATATTATAGCGCTTAGATAGTATTATTGTAGCGCAGGCGGGGGGATGGTGGGGGGCGGGGGTAGCAGCCCAGCCCCCAGCCTCGGCTGGCTGGGCAATCTAGGCGAGGCCGAGGGCTCTGCACGGGACTAGGCCTCACCACGGCACTCTGTCAGGTGAGTACTTTGTGCTATAGAGTCGACATATACGGCTATAGAGTCAGCATGTACTACTGTAGTGATAGCAGGTACCACCACAGTCAGTATGTACTGCTGTAATCATACAGGTACCACCACAGTCGGTATGCACTGTTGTAATGAAACTAGAAACCACCACAGTATGCACTGCTGTAATCATAGCAGGTCCCACCACACTCAGCATGCACTGCTCTAATCATAGCAGGTACCACCACAGTCAGTATGCACTGCTGTAGTGAAAGCAGGTACCACCAAAGTCGTCAATATACACTGCTGTAGTGTTAGCAGGAACCACCACAGTTGGTATGCAATGCTGTAGTTAAAGCAGGTACCACCACCGTCAGTATGCACTGCTGTAGAGAAAACAGGTACCACCACAGTCGATATGCACTGCTGTAGTGATAGTAGCTACTGCTATCGAGTTGGTAGATACTGCTATACAGAGTTAGTAGATACTAAAACAGTCAGTATATACCACTACGGTCAGTAAATACCACAATAGTCAGTAGATACTGCTATACAGTCAGTAGATACTACTACGGTCAGTAGCTACTGTTATAGAGTCAGTAGATACTACTACGGTCAGTAGCTACTGCTATAGAGTCAGGAGATACTACTATAGTCAGTAGAGACTGCTATAGAGTTAGTAGTTACTACTATAGTCAGTGGATACTACTATAGAGTCAGCAGATACTACTATAGGGCCGGTATATACTATGGTCAGTAGTTACTAGTCAGTAAATACTACTAAATAGTCAGTAGCGACTACTGGCTCCGTAGATACTACTGTACAGTCAGTAGATACAACTACAGAGTCAATAGATACTACTTACTCTGTTTTACAGTTGGGTGTGTAGGTATACCTACGCGGGGGTAAAGATATTTTTTTAGGGGGGGGGGTTGACAATTTTCGGAAACCTTTTAAATCAACTATTTACCCCCCACTTTCTTGTGCAAGCCTCTTATAATTTTGTTGTTGGAGAAATGGACAAACGGCCCATCGGGCTTTCACAATACCTTAGTATCCGTGTATGTGTAATAAAAGACTCTGTTCGGCACTGCTGGTCTCCGTTGGTCTTTTATTCAAGTTCTTTCTCCGTACCCCGCTGGTCTTCTCTGCGGACCAGCGTCGTCTCACGCACGCCCTGCGCGTGCTACCTCCTCAGCTCCTCCACTCTTCCTCACACCCCGCTGGTCCTGACAAGGGACCAGCGTCTCCTCTCGCGTGCCGCGCACGCTCCTCTCGCGTGCCGCACACGCTCCTCCGTTAGCTCCTCCTCGCGCGCGCCCTGCACGCGCTCTCCCGTCAGCTCCTTCTCGCGCGCGCCCCGCACGCGCTCTCCCGTCAGTCGCTCCGCTCCTCCCCGCTCCGCACACCGCTGGCCGACAGTGTGCCGAAGCCTCATCAGCCACGTGGCTGATGGCGTGGCGGCCACTCAACGCGGTCCCGCTTTTTCACTCCAACAACTGACCCTGATCCCTTCCGGGCTCCCACCTATATCTTCTTTCCCACGTGACCCTGACTTCCTCCCCTCCCGGATCGTCAGATCCGGCCTTCCCATACTGGGCTCCGCCCCCCAATACCCCGGGCCGTGTGATTGGGCCAGAGCCCAGCAGCAACCCCATTTACGCTCGCATTACATAAGTATATGTCAGGTTTTTAAGAGAAGATTTGAAATATATTTTTTGCCTGGTTAACGCCAGGTACTTCCCGCTTGTCTAACCTATAAACCAACTCACGTACCAACTCACGCGCCTTTCGTGGAGGGGACGGCCCATGCCAAGTCGCACGCCTTCGGTGGAAGTGAGGGGGACATTTTATTTCGCGTTAAAAAATGCTTCAAAAATACACTAAACGCTGAGCTTGAATCTTCACTGTGTGATGTCCCCCGCACCCCGATGCGTGCAGTTACTAATATATACAGTCGCTAGATGCTACCACTACAGGCCATATATATTACTGCAGAGTGGCTGGGGAGATCGTGGCTGGGGAGGGGGGGGGGGTTCAGGGGTAGCAGCCCAGCGCCAGCCTGCCAAGGTGCCACCTCGGCCAGCTGAACAATCTAGGCGAGGCCGGAGGCTCTGCACGGGACTAGGCCTCACCACGCCACTCTGTCAAGTGAGTACTTTGTGCTATAGAGTCGATAAATACTGCTATAGAGTCAGTATGTACTACTGTAGTGATAGCAGGTACCACCACAGTTGGTATGCACTGCTGTAATCATAGCAGGTACCACCACAGTTGGTATGCACTGCTGTAATCATAGCAGGTACCACCACAGTCAGTAAGCACTGCTGTTAGATTTTTAAGAGTAGTTTTGAAATATTTTTTTGGCCAGGCAACGCCGGGTATACAAGCTAGTATTATATATTTTATATATACATATGTAGACAGTGCCTCTCGTTCCACAATCACAAAGTGTGGTTGCTAAGCACAGCCCCAAAGGCCCCCAAAACGTCATGCGGCCAGCAACGAACCGCGCTGCCGCCGGTGTAGTCGATCTTCTTCTTTGGTACGGCTGATGTAGCTGCAGAGCAACAACTACAATTTCACATTCAGGTGGTCAAGCCAGATAGCCGTTGTTAGGAATAGCGGAGGGTACTGCTGTGATGTCTCCTTCGTATGTGTAGCGATACACTCTGAGACACTAGGAATAGGAGGGCACTCTATTTATTATGGCTTTCACAGGGTACAAGGGGTAACTACACTTTAGTCAGGACAGCTAACAGACTGCCTGACTGACAATGCCGAGAATGTGAAGACGGTGACGAAGACTCCAGCAGACCGACGGCATTCCACTCCAACAGCCCCAGACCGTCGCTTGGGTCCCCTTTTATCCTCCTGGCATGGCCTCGCTCCACCCCCGGCCACGCCCCCTTTCTGGAACCTACTACTGAGTTCCCGGGCTCACCTCATGTGCCCCCTCTATCAAATTTGCCCTACATCCCTCTCTCTGCTTATCACGTGACCTGTTGACAGAGAGGGCTGCTGCAACCGCAGATCCCTTTCTCTGCCAGCAACCAGTGCTATGCTTCATAGTAACCCATTCCATGTCACTACATATGTGTGGATCGGGCATTGCATTGTTGTGCGTTGTCCGGTCTGTTCTGGATGACCACAGTTGCACACTACTGGACAGTGTAAAATTTTTGTGCAACTCGGGTGAAGTGTGACTCGAAGCGGATGGAAAGCGGCCACTGTTGAAACCGCAAACTCGCAGTGCGCAGACTTCCCTTGGTTCAGGGTCGCGGGAGACCGCGGACAACTGGGAAGGCAGCCGATGCAGAAACCGGAGCTGCCAACGATTGCCCAAGCTCTGTGGCCCAATATGGGTTTTTTTTGGTAAACTCCATTAATAAGTGATTATACACTGCGGAACACTGCTGATGAATTTAATTCAGTTTCTTTTAGTTTTTTTTTGGGGCATAATTCTTAAATAATAACCTGCAAAGATGTCAGGGACAAACATTGCTCCTAGCCTAACCTCCGCCACTGATGTTATTATTTTGTACAAAGCATATTTATAGGATTTATTTTCAATAGAGAGGCAGTAATACAATGGCATTTCACGGGGAAAATGTATTTCATTTGTTCAGGGCCTGCTAGCTGCAACCACGGCATCAAGTTATCCTCCTGGGTTTCTGATTGCATAGCTATGCGCAAAATAGGTGACCTTGGTGCATTCTCCTGCAGTAATAAAAGAGCAGCCCCCTGCACATAAAACCCACACTCCTATACGTTCCTGGTATATTGGCTCTTCGTCTCCCCCTTTCTGGCCAATAATATGAAATCGGAAACATAAAGGGACACAGTTTTTTTGTTACCAACAAAGCATCCGAAGAGGAAATGAATGAGTGAATGAGTGAACGAGAGGTGTCGCGACCGCCCCCCCAGACGCAGAGGCGGCGTGTGCTGACAATCCTTCCGCCAACACGAGCAGAGCCGCGTCGCGTTTGCTGAGCGCAACGCGGAGAAAAAGAGAAGCAATAGTTCTGAAACGAAACTTAAGCAATTTTTTTCAATTTTTCAGAAGTGACCTGGCTATCACAAATGATGGCTCAACTTTACTGGAGGGGCGCCACGGAAGAATATTGCATCACAAAACGTGTGTTGGATTTGAAAAAATGAGACGGAAAATAGCGCGCTGAGCGCTTTGTGAAGATTGCCTCCTCATTGCAACAAACCAGCGCGGCCGTGCGATCAGAGGCGTGACAAAGCAGCCTCTCGTGGCACCAAGTAAATCGATGGTACGCACGTACGCGGCGAGCGAGATGCGGCAAACCAAGCAGAGCTCTCACCGCGGGCGTGAGCTTCAGCTCCGATCGCTCGCGGTCGCCCTGCTCAAAAAACTCGCTGGTCACCAGCTCGGCCACCTGCACGCCAACGGAGACACGGCCCGACACGGGGGAGATGTTTAGACATGGCACCAGGTTCTCATTTCAGGCTGAGCCGACCTAGGGGGAGTCCCAGGACTGATTAAGATGGCTGTGAGCGAGAACCGATCCCAAGTCGCCGGGTTCGCAGCGCAGCATGCTAACCATCACATCCACCGCTCCCCATATACATGCAAAGACAAAAATCCCTTGCATAGCTTTTAACAGACTGTTGGGGCGAGTGCTGTAAGCGAGCACCTATGAAGGCCGGCATGGAACATGAGGGGGTGGGTGGCCAACACCACGCCCGACCGCATTTGTATCTTCAGTGGCGATGTTTACACATCGCACTAGGCACTCATTTGAGGCTGAGTCGACCTAGGGGAGGCCCATGATTGGTTCAGATAATCGTCACTGGTGTTGGCTCACCGGGTTCGTAGTGCAGTGTACTAACCGCTACATGATTGCTCCCCACTGTGCATATATATGCATACACACACACATACATTTCTGTCCTGGCAAACCTGGCAAGTCTCCCCAATGCATTACAAGCCCCGAATGTGTAACAATTATAATAAGTAATCCACCGCAAAAGATAACGCGTTTGTCTCCTTGTAGTTCTCCCCTTTTTGGTATCATGAGATGCCCTTTTCTCTCTTCCCACGATGCATCCCGGTGATTAGAGGGGGGTGGGGGTTAACCCTGCTAACGTGTGTAAAACCTCACTAGCGGAGTCAGCCAAACGTCCCAATGTAGGACTCCAGAGCTCGCAGAATTATTGGTGCTGGGCTCTGGCTGCCTTGCCCCACTTGTCTGTGGTTTCCCGCGCCTCCGGAACGAATCTCTCCCTCGCCCTGAGAGCGAGCGAAAGACTGTCGCTGTTGCACGGTTCCGAGCAATGGCCGGGATCGAGCGGAAAGACTGAGGTGCGCGGCCCTTGCCTTCCTCGAGATGTCCCAGGGCTTGGTGACGGCACCCAGGTCGCACGCCGTCATCAGCATTGACCTGCGGGGATTGCAGCACCACGACCTCGGCGTCACACAGGCGTGCGGGCTGCGAACGTTCACACAACGACCCATGACCGCAGGCAGTGGCCGACAGCGGTTAGCTCCAACTCATCGCCTTAACTGACGAGCAATTCACTCCGATGGATGGAGCGGCGGCTACAGGTTATTCAGAAATACCCGCGGGTTTCACGCAGGGGCGGATGGGTGGGCTAAGGCTGGTGCGGTGAGGGGGGGCGGTCTCCCAAACAACGCAGACGTTGGATTTATGAGTTGGCCGACGATCGACATTCAAGATCCGTAACTAAAGCGGCCCTAAAATTTCAGATCTAGAATTACGCAGGTGAATAAAAAATAATTAATAATATAAACGCCCAACTTTATCTGTGATGAATATGATGAACGCTGCACTTCCCGTCGATTTCATGCAGGGGGCGCTGCAAACCTACGCGCCCCGTGCATGTGTAGGGGTGTTACGGAGGGGCTGTTATACAATGGGATCAGATGGGAAAGAAACACAGTGGGCGTGGCTATGTCGGTGCACGGGAAGGTGCTCCCAGCGACGTCCGCATCGGGCAGCCTGGGGGACTGACTCGGAGCTGGGATCCCCCGGGGCCCCACCCCTCAGCGGGGGTTTTGGTATAAAAGGGGATGAGCCGGAGGGCTCAGGGAGAGATGTTGAAGCTAACCAGTGAAGACTGAAGATCGTCATAGATAGAGCCCTGGACTCCCCTGGATCGCCACCCTTATCAGGGCCGAACAGGATCGAGCCAGTGGCGTGGTCCCGAGAGCCAGAGCTGGTGCTCTTGTAAGAGCTGGTCTGGGACTCCGGGTACCGTGAGCCCGACTTACCAGTGTCGGGCTAGCTAGCCTCCCCTAGCCTGTTAGTGGAGGACCCAGAGGTAGGCTAGGCGTAGCTAGAGAGTGTATCCCCAGTTAGACGGGTGAGGGGGCCGATACCCCCTCCAGTGTTGTATGTCAGTGTTGTGCTGTACCGACACATAATAAATACGTGTGCCTCCAACCCCGGCGTCCAAGTCTCCTGGAACACTATTACACATGAACGACGGAGGCGCAGGGACAGATGTTTGATTACGATGGAATAGATCTGCAGATGGCGGTCTCAATGTCGCCTTATCTCGATCCCACAATCCCAAACAGGTGAAAGTCCGCATCGAACCGAACCCCCAGCAAGGACATCTACTTAACGACGAGAGATAATTCACGCAAAAAGTCGTTTTGAATTAAGTCTTCCAGATGTAAAATTATATTTATATATAAACAACTTTTTCTGTCTATGATGAATATGATGAACGCTCGAGAGAGAGAACGAGGCGATTCGGTGTTGATTCCCAGCATCGACTTGGCCCCCACCGACACGACTTTGCGATTTGTTTTGCGACGACGACAATTTCCCCTTCTCCCCGCATACGCTATCACAATTAACAAGTCGCAGGGACAGACATTCCATTACGTTGGTAAGCGCACAACTTTATCTATCTTTCTATGATGAATACTAGGTTGTTGGGGGGCGACGCAGGCGCCCCCCAACAACCTGCTATTATTTTACTCATCATATAATTGTTTACACAGAAGAGCCTTGCTTTGTATCAAGACTCTTTATTGTTTTTCTTCCAGAGGGTCCTTGTTAGGTTTTCGGAGTCGGGGTTGACGATCGCTACTCCGCGTTTCCCAATTTAGTAACTCGTGTAAACTCTACAACTTTGGTAAATGTTGGATCGATGACACCGGCACACAACGGCCCATTCGATGGGGATGTTATCGATGGGACCTTTAGCGTTCACCACGAACCGCAATACTCTTGCATTCTTTACGGTTACTACGACACCCGCGCATATGAACCAATTTTAAGGTTCATTTTATCCCGCGAAGAAATAAAGATCAATCTTTCGAGCTGACATTGCCTATTGAAAAGCTACAGAGCAGTAATGCATAATTTATTGGAAATTACTATAATGTATGTGTGTGCGCGTGTGTGTGTGCATGCGTTCGCGTATGTGCGTGCGTATTAGTCGTAGCTTTATTTCTGGTTTCTGATGAGGGATGCAAAATTTATATGAACAAAAATGAGCCGCGCTCGCTCACCCTGGCTCCACGTACCTTAGCATCTCTCTTTGGTCCCGTGCGTTCCAGTCATGCGTTCCCATGGACACCAGCTCAAAGAACTTGGTCCTCTGCCTGGTGGGAACAATCGCAGTAAACACAAGGGCCCTCAGATATGAAAATAACATCGAAGGAATCTCGAAGAAACGACAACGCTCGCTGATAGGCGAGCGTGTAGGCATGGTGCTGGCCACCCACCCCCTCATGTACCGTGCCGGCCTTCATAGTTGCTCACTAACAGCAATTGCCCCAACAGTCTGTTAAGGTTAGAATTAATCATCGGGGGGTGGGGGATGCGCTTGCCCAATACGCGTCGCCCGGCAACATTCGGCCTTCACGCGGCCCACTCTGTTAAGTCGACCGTCGATCTCCCAGTCTCGAGAGCGACAACTACAACACGAGTCACTTTCAACGGCCCTCTTCAGGGTCAGATAGGCCCTGGGACAAGGATCCTCCAAACTGGACATTGAGGGACTCTCCAGAGCGAGTATCCTGCCATCGTAATGATTGCACGGTTGTTTTGACCATCTGAATGTGAAAATGTAGTTGTTGTTTTGCATCTACATCAGCCGTACAAAAGAAGATTCGGCCCTGCCCCACTGCTTGCATGTGTCCACGTGTGTGCTTGCAGTGCGTGTGTCCGTGTGTGTTTGCACATGCGCATGTGTTTGCATCCGTCTGTGTGTTCACGTGCGTTTGCACCGTGCGCGCGTTACTGGAAATAAAGCGTGAGGTCCGTGGCTAGGATCGCTTGCTTGAGCAGCTGCATCATGCTGGCGTACTCGCGCGAAGAGAGGTTGCCGAATATGTTCTGGCCCTGCGGGAGAAGCGAGTGAGATATTGCGGGAAGACGAACGGACCCATTGGAGTAGCAGCAGTGGCAGAAGCAGCAGTGGATGCAGCAGAAGCAGCTTCAGAATCAGTAGAAGCAGCGGAAGCATGAGAAGCAATAAATGTATGTATATTGATGCTCTTTCGCACCGTACGCAGCGAACCGCGCAAATCGAAGGTACGGGGGAAGGACAACAAACTAAACTGCAGCAGATGCAGAAGCAGAATCAGCAGAAGCAAAAGCAGGATAAGCAGCAGCAGATGCAGCAGCAGGAGTAGATGCAGCAGGAGCAGAATCCAGTAGAAGCAGCGGAAGCAGTAGATGCAGCATATGCAGCAGGAGGAAATGCAGCAGGTGCTGGCGCAACAGAATCAGTGCCGGCATGCCCACAAGGCTCCCAAAGCATTCATCCATTCATTTGTTTCGACTAGCAGAGCCATCGTTTATACTGGTAGGAACCTCCTGGTTACACCAGCCCACAGGGGATTATTGTGTCCGTCCGTCCGTCGTGCATCCAAAAATGGAAGGGGTGGGGCTGGGTGGAGAGGGGAGGGTGGGGAGGGTGGGGGGGCTGGGTGGGGAGGGTGAGGCTGGGTGGGGGGTGGGAGGAGTGGGGCTGGGTGGGGAGGGAGGGGCTGGTCACCCCGTGGTGCCCTTATAAAACTCAACGTTTAACCTACTCACGCCGGCTTGTGCCTGCCCTCACAATCGGCCATATTTGCGGAATACACCACGCCGCCGTTGACCCTGGCCATTGACCGAGCAACCCAACGTTCCTACCAGCTCCCTCTGCAGGAATGTTTTATGAGCGGCCGATGGCCCATCCCGGGCTCGCCGCATGCAGATGACGCACTGCACCATGGGGACCTTTCTCCTACTTTGCCCCTGGCTGCCACGGTGGAGAGATGTTAACTACCTCGTCTGGCATACAGGAGGTCGTGGGTTCGATCCCGACCCTGACGCCTTTATATTTGGAGTTCGCGTGTCTTTCTCCCTGTGATCACGTGGACTGTTTTTCTCCGGGTCCTCCGGTTTTTCCATTCAACATTTAGAAACATGCGTTTAGAGGATTTTGCTGCGATAAACTTCTACGTGATAAGGCGCTTCGTTGAGCCATCAGTTGTGGCCAGGTCACTTCTGAAAAACGAGATGGGTAGCTCAGTGGGCCGTGAACCGGATTTAAGAAAATTGTCAGATCGTGTCTGCTGCCCCGAATTGACTTCTCTTTAACTGTTACAGCCCTTCCCCCCCGCACCTCCGATTAGCACGGTTGGCTACGCACGTTGCGAAAGACGTTCAGCATACATACATAACTGCTTAGCGGACACCGTTGAGCAACTGTGATTTTTTTTCATGTATAATGGTTTAAATAAGAACAATAAATATAATTCACGGCTCTGTGTTCAATCCAGTGCTGAATGAAGGCCTCGCCACGCCGTGCTGGTCATCATGCAGGTTGCTGGGTTCGTCGGGTGGTGCATGAACCCCAGTAACATTGCAGCAAGCGCTATCTCAAAGCAGAGTCGTTCAAAGAAACTGTGTTCAATTCGCGCAAATCTCTTTACACGATACAAAATGTAACCTGGAACAAACTAAATATAGCAAAATGACAATCAAACCCCGGTAGTGTTTGTGGGAATAAAACCACGCTGGTTGAGAACACTCGCCTCACAAAATTAATACAATCGAACGCAATTTAATGGCATTTCAACAAGTTGCAAATCAACAAAGGGAAATGACGATTCCGCGTAGTTTTGCAAACTCGTGTGGTGCGGTGTGCCGCTGCTGCCGAGCATTGAAGCCGAAGTGTGGTTGGCATGCGGCCCTGGTGCGAGGAATTGAAATCAAAAGAATATTTTTCGATTTAAAGCTTTCGTGACTGCAGGGATTCATCTTCTTGGTTCTTTCGGTAAAGTCACGTAGAAGGGAAGAAAAATAATATTTATTTAGACTGGGGGAAAACCGAGAGCTATAAAGCTCTTCTTCACAGATGTCCAGTAGTTTTCGCTATTGTGATGGATCCCGTGTTACAATTTCCACCTCCTTCCTCCCCATCTTCGTAGACCACCGGTCTGAGGTGCCCGATGCAGTTGCACCGCTTGCACACTCGACAGCTGCTAGACCAGTGCCTCCCTCGGCGTACCTCGCTCCGCAGGATCATCACGGCATGGTTGAAGTGGTGGTGCTCCAGCGTGGCCGACGTGCCGTAGAGCTGGGCAAGAGCCGAGCCACTCCTAGGGGCGCCACGGATAAGAGACACAGAGAGTGGGGTGGTTGGGGGAGGAGAGGGGCGCAGGGGGTGGCAGTTTGTCTCCGACCTCAGAACTAAAGGGGGGGGGGGGAGTCCCAATATATGTATGTTGTATGCTGAACTTCTTTTGCACCGTACTTAGCCAACCGTGCTAATCGGGAGGCACGGGGGAAGGACAACAAACTAAACATGGTGTGCTGCTGTGTGTGCTGCTGTGTGAGGACCTCGTGGCATTTTGGCCGGGGTCTCCCCCTACCGATGATTCACCGCTAAGGGGGTAAGGGTGAACTTCGATCAGCCAAAGGGACATTTGGTGGTGCGGGGCACCCCTTGGATGGCGCATGGGGCCCTGGCCAGCCGCTGCTCCACTCACTTTGCCTGGAAGGCATTGTTGGTGCCACGGTGGTCGAGGTCGTGGCACAGGCAGCCCACCATGAGCGCCAGCTTCTCCGAGTCGGTGAACACCTTGGATAGCGCTGCCGTCTGTATGTGGGGGGGACAGCGACACGGTGAGCCGGACATTGACGGCCAGGGGGAGGAGGGAGGTTACGGACACCAGGAGAAATTATTCTTCATTATTATTACTATAGAATAGTGCGTCCTTATATGGTGCCCGATCCGAAAATACGAGGGGGACATCACAGCGACATACTCCGCTGCTACGCCCGACGCGGTTATCTGGCTTGACTACCTGAATGCAATCCACATCGGCCGTACAGGAAGGGCGAAGAAGAGATTACTATTCTTCTTTACCCAGGAACACCTCACAAGAGTCTCAAAACTCTCTTTCAGGAGGGTCCTGTCAAGCTTTGCTAGTCGTAGTCATAGTCGCTAAGCCATCAATGGGCCGTTTCAAACGTTCCTCCAGGTGTCGCGATTGATCGCTCCTAGCCAGGCCTCAACTTCGAAAAAATCCAGGTATCACTGTACTGTGTCATCGCTAATTGAGTACAGCAATTCACAGGTTAAATGTTTAAGCACTGGGGATGTTGGAGGCCAATGTGAGGTAAGATGGTGTGCGGTGTGCGTGTATGTGCAGAGTCGTCCCTAGGGGTTACGGTGAATCGGAGCGACCGCCCCAGGCCCTGGACTTTGGGGGGGTGGGGGGCGCGCTTCAATGTCACGGTGTCAGATGTACCACTTCTGGTTTACTTTGAAGACGTTGGGGTGGCGGGGGGGAGCTCCTCATGGTGTGATTTTCCCCGGGCTCCGTATCCCCCCCTATGGACGGCACTCTGTGGTGTGTGTGGTGTGTCTGTGGTGTGTGTGGTGTGCGTGTGGTGTGTGAGGTGTGCGTGTGTTGTGTGTGGTGTGTTTTTAGGGGGAGTGGTAGTATAGCGGTTAGCGTGCTGTTGTACGAACCCGGCGTCTCGAGTTTAATTCCCCACTTACGGCCAACACCAGTGACGATTATCTGAATCGGTCCTGGGCCCTCCCCTAGGTCAACTCAGCCTTAAATGAGCACCTGGTGCGATGTGTAATAATCGCCACTGGGGAGACAAAGGCGGCCGGGGCGTAGTGCTGGCCACCCGCCCTGTCGTGTGATGTGCCGGCCTCATAGATGCTACTCGCTAACAGCACTTGCCCCAACAGTCTGTTAAAGGCTATACGGGGGGGAGGGGGGGTTCTGTGTCTGCTCGTGATGAAAGGGTCCACCCCCCACCGTCATCATGGCGAACATGCACTGCGCCACGTTGAAGGCATGCCGCCAGTTGTGGTACTGCACCAGGCGGTAGTTCTTCCTCACGGTCAGCAGCCACCGGCACAGCGTCTGTGCGTGGTGAGGGGAGGGGTGGCACACGCACAGGCGCAATGGGGTCAGGGTGACGGGGGGGGGGGCTGCAGTGTCAGTTCGATGAGGGGGGATTATGGCTGAGAGGCGGTGGGGGGGGAACCCCGACCACCCCCCCCCCCCCACCGCCGCTTTCTTGAGGCTTGTCACGACGCGTCGATTCAACTAATATTACAATAAATATGAAGACAAAAATCCAAGTCCATCGCTCGACCTGACGCACTGTTTTTTACCCCCCCTACCAGATCTCAGAGCTCTGCTGGCTATGACAGAGTTGGGTTTTTTTTCTCTCCCAGCGGTGAGTGGTGGCCCCGGTTCAGGCAGTCACCTCCATCGAGGGGGTGGCTTATTTATTTATTGATCGCAGGCGACGTAAGCATCTTAGTACATCAATTGGGCACCACGGTGGCGAGATGCGAACTACCTCGCTTGGTATACAGGTCGTGGGTTCGATCCCAACCGTCACGATGTCTGTATATTTGGAGTTTGCATGTTTTCTCTCCCCGTGGTGGTCGCGTGGATTTTTCTCCGGTTTTTCCCTCCACATTTAAAACAAGCGTATAGAGCATTTGGCTACGATACATTTTCACTTGAAAAGTGAATTCAATGAGCTATCATTCGTGGCCAGGTTTCTGCTGAAAACGAGCTACACATGTCAGTGGGCCTTACCTGGTAACATTTAAAATAGTTTAGTATAAATAGTTGGGCCAGGTGGCTCAGCGTTAGAACGCGTGGCTCGCAAACTGGAAAGTTCCCGAGTTAAAATCCTGGTGGAGGGGTTGACTGTCTCTCCTATGCGGCCCGGCACCACTTTGTTTGTTATCGTATGCAGATACTCGGCCCTGCCCGAGGAATGTGGAATTTCCTATCGCTGGTTCAAGAACTGTTAAACGGGATATGTGAGAAACGGCCCAGTGTTCACTTGAGCGGGAAATTACGTCACTTCTGACCTAAATTAATTGTAGTTCATTAGAACTGCATTTTGTGTTTTCAGTTTGTCCTTCCCCCGTGCAGTGCGAAGGAAGTTGAATATTACACACACACATACAATAAGCGGGAGGCAATGTCGAACACAACAGTGGATGGAAAACCCCTGAAGTAGAGAGATTACAGTCCAACCTGACCCCCGTAGCCACGTCACGGGGGGGCGGGGGGGGGGGGGAGAGAACCTGGCGTGAGCCGTGACATTGCGGGCACGTTGCGCGTGCACCTCGTAGTCAATGCGGAACGTCTGCACGAGCCCGAGGTCGGTGAACATGCGCAGGGAGGCGGTGATCATTGCGTCGTGGTCCAGCGAGAAGTCGTCGAAGTGGAACTCGTCGATGCCAAGCTCGCACACCGGAGGGATCTCCGCTGCCTACCAAGGAAGGGGGAGGGTGCAAAGGGGGCATAGGGGCAGGAGAGCAGAGGGTAGGGGGAGAGGGGGGAAAGGGGGCAGTGTATAAGGGGATAAGGGGGCAGGCAGTAAGGGTGGGGTAAGGGGGCAGGGGGAAAAGGGAGCAGGGAGCAGCGGGCAAGAGTACAATGTGCAGGGGCAGTGATGAGGGGCAGGGCTTGCACGACGCTTTCACTGGGTTCAGTGGCACACCCAGAGAAACGAAATTGAATGGGTGGAAATGGTCTTAACTTTTTGTATGTATCCATTAAATGAGACAGTATTCACAGAATTATGATGCACTCTCCCCCCCACGTAGTCAGCTCGCGTGTTATTTTTTGTTGCTTAACAAAAGTATTTGTATTTTCTTGGGTCTTTCGGTAAAGTCACGTCGATACGTTCAAAGAAAATAATCCAAAATAACAGAAAACTACGACGTTTTGATCGCAACGCAAGAGGTCGTCTTCGGGAAAAGGGGAGGGGGTTAGCTTCCAAGGGAAACTGTTTATAAGGGTTTGAATAGGACGTAGCCCAAATGTCAGCAGTTCATTTACCACCAACCATGTTAAAGAGAGATTAGCATGTTAATGGTAGATCGCAGAGCTGCAACCAAGGGGTTGGCGCGCGAAGTGGCTGTGAAAGCACAAGTTGGAAATGGGCGCAAAGCACAACTCACATCGGAAGGTGGTAGGATGGGAACATCATCGCCAATTATGACTTAAACTGGTTGATAAGGTCCTTCCAATGATTGCTCAGTTTGTATCCATCTTCTCGGTTGAAATTGTGTCTGTGTCTATATATATGGATGGCTTCATGAACAAATCTTTGTTGATAGCCAGTTGTCTTGCAAAGTGCATTCGTCCTAGAGAAATCTAATTCGCGTGAGCCCACCGCATTAAAACAATGATCAGCCACGGCCGAGGTATTGGTCCTACCGTGTTTCAGATCTGAGACATGTCACTTAGTTTCCCCAATGTAACTACTGCCACAGACACAGCTTCAAAGATGGGATCAGATCACGAATTTTACGTACTGTGTTAAATCTAACCTGGATCTTGATTTTAGAAATCTTTTTTGTGACCCCAACTCTGTATGGCAAGGTGATGGTTTTGATTGGGTCCTCAGATGGTTCTTTCCCAACGGTTGGGGTGATAGCTTTACGGATTGTATAGTCTGAATAGACTGTGTAGCAGCAGAGGGTTTTCCTTAAAACCCTCTGCTGCTACACCTCCCAGATTGTATGGCTTACCAAAAATCCATAAAGAAGGGACACCTCTTCATATCGTCTCCACCATTGACTCACCCACCTACAAACTGGCCCAATTTCTGTCTGAGACCTTAAAACCATTCACTGGTAAGACAACCTCAGCTGTACTCAACTCAGCTCACTTGGTATCGTTAATTAAGGACACCTCACTATCTCCAGGTGACTTGCTCGCTAGTTTCGATGTGGTCTCTTTGTTTACAAAAGTTCCTGTGCTTGACACCATTGCAATCATTGAAGATTTGGTCCAACAAGGACTGAATGCTGATGTACCGGCCCTGGTGAGACACTGCCTCACCAACACTTACTTTACCTGGAATGGAACATTCTACAAACAAGTTGAAGGTACCCCAATGGGTTCTCCCTTATCTCCAGTTGTAGCCAATGTTTTCATGGAAAAATTTGCCATCCAGACATCCACTCTATGTCCGTCCTTTTGGAAGAGGTACGTAGATGACACGTTCGTCATTTGGCCACATGGCCTACCAGCTCTGAGCTAATTCTTCAACCACATCAATTCCATACACCCAGTCATCAAATTCACAAAGGAGATGGAAAAGGATGGCAAGTTAGCATTCTTGGATATTTTAATCGAAAATAAACCAGATGGCTCAACGGGACAGTCTACCGGAAAGCCGCCCATACGGATGCCTACCTAAAACCAGACTCCCACCACCATCCATCCCAGAAGAATTCTCTCATCAAAACTCTACACCATAGAGCTCGATATATTTCCGACCGTCATCACCTAGCCAGTGAACTGGAATACGTACACCAAGCTCTCAAGATGAATGGATATTCAGACTCCACAATCCGTAAAGCTATCACCCCAACCGTTAAACAAAGAACCATCTGAGGACACAATCAAAACCATCACCTTACCATACATAGCAGGTGTCACCAAAATATTTCCAAAATCATGAGCAAACACAAGATCCAGGTTCGATTTAACAGTTCGTAAAATTCGTAATCTGATCCCATCTGTGAAGGATGTGATCCCTGACATGCAATACCCCGGCATCTACAATCTAAGCTGTGTCTGCGGCAGTAGTTACATTTGGGAAACTAAGCGACATGTCTCGGACCGTGTTCGTGAACATAAGGCAGATCTGAAACACGGTAGGACTAATACCTCGGCCGTGGCTGATCATTGTTTTAATGCGGTGGGCTCACACGAAATTGATTTCTCTAAGACGAAGGTACTTTGCAAGCGCACTGGCTATCAACAAAGATTCGTTCATGAAGCCATCCATATATATCTATATATATAAAATCGTGCATGTCTGTCTGTCTGTGTGTGTGTGGATTTCGGACCATACGCACTTTCATTGGACGGCGGTTGCCCCTGGCAACGGCTAGCGACGCCTTCGCCGCTTTCATTGGACCTGGCAACGGCTAGCGACGCCTTCGCCAAGGGCTGCAGTTTCATTGGACGGCAGTTGCCCCTGCCAACGGCTAGCCACGCCTTCGCCACTTTCATAGGCTCCGTAAATAATTAAATAATAGCCATTACACAGTATTGTTGGAGCGCTGAGGGGGGGGGGGGGGAAGGCACGCCACCCGTACCCTGCCTTTGCCGGCTGGACAATTTTGGCCAGGCCGCAGGCTCTGCACGCTACTAGGCCTCGACACCCACCACGCCACTCTGAGGTAAATTCATCAAAGTTTTTCCTACTATTCACTCCACCCCCACCACAATGTGTGCAATTTATATTACTTTTAAACCCAACGCGCCAACAATCGATTACTTAAATGTTCACTGTACAAATAGTCATTAAGCTGGGTCAGCGTACTGCCAGTCTATCATGTAGACTGTAGCCTGCTTATTAAACTCGGTGAGCGTACTGCCACTCTATCATGTACACTCTAGCCTGCTTATGAAGCTGAGTGCGTGTACTGCCAGTCTATAATGTGGACTGTAGCCTGGTTATTATAATCGATTCTTTATATGTTCTTTGTACAAATAGTCATTAAGCTGGTTGAGCGACCCCAGTTCCATTCCAACTCACGCCCACCACCGCTGACGATTATTTGAAACGGACCTGGGCCTCCCCTAGGTCGACTCAGCCTCAAACGCGTAACTGCTGTCGTGTGTGAACATCGTCACTGGGGAGACAAAGGCGGCCGGCAATCGTGGATCCAAGTCCCGGGCGAAGCCGGGTCATGTGTATGTGTGTATGTGTTTATGTGTATGTCTGTGTGTCTCTATGTATGTGTGTATGTATGTGTGTGTATGTGTTTGTGTGTGTGTATGTATGTCGGTTTTTTTGTATGTCTTTATGTGTATGTCTGCGTGTCTGTATGTATGTGTGTATGTACGTGTGTGCATGTGTTTGTGTGCATGTATGTGTGTGTGTATGTATGTGTGTGTATGTGTTTCTGTGTATGTATGCGTGTGTACGTATGTGTGTTATGTGTGTGTCTGTGTGTCTGCATGTATGTGTGTATTGTGTATGTGTTTGTGTGTATGTATGTGTGTTTGTGTGTATGTGTTTGTCTCTGTGTATGTATGTGTGTATGTATGTGTGTGTATGTGTTTGTGTGTATGTCTGTGTGTGTATGTATGTGGGTTTTTTTTATGTGTTTATGTCTATGTCTGTGTGTCTGTATGTATGTGTGTATGTACGTGTGTGTATGTGTTTGTGTGTATGTATGTGTGTGTATGTATGTGTGTGTGTATGTGTTTCTGTGTATGCATGTGTGTGTATGTATGTGTGTTATGTGTGTCTCTGTGTGTCTGCATGTATGTCTGTGTGTATTGTGTATGTGTTTGTGTGTATGTATGTGTGTGTTTGTGTGTATGTGTATGTCTGTGTGTATGTATGTGTGTGTATGGGTGTGTATGTGTTTGTGTGTATGTGTGTGTATGTATGTGTGTGTATGTGTTTGTATGTGTTTGTGTGTTTACGCTCGCATTACACAAATGTCTTGCAGGTCTAAGGCGTTCCTCGCGCAGCATTGCCGCTTTATTATTGCAGTCGTTTACTGCCGTGCGCACCCTGAAAGTCGTGTGTGTCTGCAGCAAGCGCGTGTATGTGTACCTATGGACGCGCGCGCGTGTGTTGTGTAGGGGGAACGGTAGTGTAGTGCTTAGCGTGCTGTCTGTGTCTGTGTGTGTGTGTCTGTGTGTGTGTCTGTGTGTGTGTCTGTGTGTGGTGTGTGGGGAGCGGTAGTGTAGTGCTTAGCGTGCTGTCTGTGTGTCTGTGTGTGTGTGTGTCTGTCTGTGTCTGTCAGTGTGTGTCTGCGTGTGTCTGTGTGTGTGTCTGTGTGTGTGTCTGTGTGTGTGTCTGTGCGTGTGTGGTGTATGAGGTGCGGTGGGTGTAGTGCTTAACGCTACGCTGCGCTACCAACCCGGCGAAACGAGTTCGATTCCCGCTCACGGCCACCACCGGTGACGATTATTTGAACCTCCCCTAGGTCGACTCAGCCTCAAACGAGTAACTGGTGTGGCGTATTAACATCGGCACTGGGGAGACAAAGGCGGCCGGGCGTGGTGGATCCAAGTCCCGGGCGAAGCCGGGTCATGTGTATGTGTGTATATGTTTGTGTATGTCTGTGTGTCTGTATGCATGTGTGTATGTATGTGTGTGTATGTGTTTGTGTGTATGTGTGTGTGTATGTATGTGGGTTTTTTTGTATGTGTTTATGTGTATGTCTGCGTGTCTGTATGTATGTGTGTATGTACGTCTGTGGATGTGTTTATGTGTATGTATGTGTGTGTATGTATGTGTGTTATGTGTCTGTCTGTGTGTGTGTGTGTATTGTCTATGTTTTTGTGTGTATGTACGTGTGTGTTTGTGTGTATGTGTATGTCTGTGTGTATGTATGTGTGTGTATGTGTGTATGTGTTTGTGTGTATGTGTGTGTATGTATGTGTGTGTATGTGTTTGTATGTGTTTGTGTGTTTACGCTCGCATTACACAAATGTGTTGCAGGTCTAAGGCGTTCCTTGCGCAGCATTGCCGCTTTCTTTTTTCAGTCGTTTACTGCCGTACGCACCCTGACAGTCGTGTGTCTGCAGCAAGCGCGTGTATGTGTACCTATGGACGCGCGCGCGTGTGTTGTGTAGGGGGAACGGTAGTGTAGTGCTTAGCGTGCTGTCTGTGTCTGTGTGTGTGTGTCTGTGTGTGTGTGTCTGTGTGTGTGTGTCTGTGTGTGTGTCTGTGTGTGTGCATGTGTGGTGTGTGGGGAGCGGTAGTGTAGTGGTTAGCGTGCTGTCTGTGTGTGTGTGTCTCTGTCTGTGTGTGTCTGCGTGTGTCTGTGTGTGTGTCTGTGTGTGTGTCTGTGCGTGTGTGGTGTGTGAGGAGCGGTGGGTGTAGTGGTTAACGCTACGCTGCGCTACAAACCCGGCGAACCGAGTTCCATTCCCGCTCACGGCCACCACCGGTGACGATTATTTGAACCTCCCCTAGGTCGACTCAGCCTCAAACGAGTAACTGGTGTGGCGTATTAACATCGCCACTGGGGAGACAAAGGCGGCCGTGCGTGAGTGGTGAGGGAGGGAGAGTGGTGAGGGAGGGAGAGTGGTGAGGGAGGGAGAGTGGGGAGGGACAGTGGTGAGGGAGGGAGAGTGGTGAGGGAGGGACTCAGCCGCAAAACGAGTAACTGGTGTGGCGTATTAACATCGCCACTGGGGAGACAAAGGCGGCCGGCCGTGGTGGATACAAGTCCCGGGCGAAGCCGGGTAGTACAGCTAGTAGACAGATACAATTTCAACTAAGATGGGTACAAACTGAGCAATCATTGGAAGGACGTTATCAACTAGTTTAAGTCAAAATTGGTTATTATGTTCCCATCTTACAACCTTCCGATGTTGGTCGTGCTTTACACCCATTTTAAACTTGCGCTTTCACAGTCATTTCGCGCGCCGACCCATTGGTTGCAGCTCTGTGGATCTTCCATTAACATGCTAATCTCTCTTTAACATGCTAATTTTCTCCTGGCAGCCCTTTGATTGGTGGAAAACGAACCACCGCCGGGCTCGCTGCCGAACGCTTATATTATCATTGGCTGCTGAGATTTGGGCTATGCCCATTTCAAACCCTTATAATCAGTTTCCCTTGGAAGCTAACCCCCCCCCTTTTCCTAAAGATGACCGCTTGCGTTGCGATCGAAACGTCGTACATTTCTGTTATTTTTGTAAAATTTATTTTAACCTATTTACATGACTTTACCGAAAGACCCAAGAATATTAATTCCTGCAGTCAAAAGTATTTTTTTACATTTTTCGAAGAAAGCCATTCGGGAGCCGCGTGCCATTTACTGTAAGAAGTTTCCAGGAAATTGGAACTCCTATTTTGTGTCGACTTGTGTTTGGCAGGCATCATCATTACATAATGCACGACAAAACACGGACTCTTAAGAGTTCTCTACTAAAATTAAACACAACAGCCACCCACGCCGGTCTCAAGCCCTCTTTCTTTCGCACGGCTGCTGATGTAGCTGTAGAGCAACAATTTCAATGTCACATTGTAGTGGTCAAGCCAGACTGCATTAGGAGCAGCAGAGTGCATCACTGTGATGTCCCCTTTGTATTTGTGGATCGGGGCATTGCGTCGTTATACGTTGTACGGTCTGTTCTGGATGACTACAGTTGCACACTACTACTGCACATTTTCCATTTGTGCATCAGGTATCCGCATCTGCAGCCATGGTTTGTGCAGTGGATGTGGTTTAGGGTGGACCATGTTCTTCTGAACTCCATTCTGCTCTCCCAATCCTCAATGCGGGTAGTCTCTGGCTAATTAACCATCACGTGCGCCGTGCCCCGCATGGTGGACTGCAACGGTGTGCGTGGCTGCTACGCAATTAGAATGCATTTCCAGCACATAGCACATACGAAAGGCGAGCGAACTCCGGTCCTCCTCCTCGGGTCGTCAGTGGCTTCTGGCTGGCCATCGAACAAAGACGGTGGTCACCGCATTGTGTGCGCTTTCAGGTGCGCTTCTGCGGCCGCCTGGAATGCACTTCCTTCCGATATCAGGAAGCCACTGGAGCTGTGCACTTTTAAATCATCTAGATTGAAATCTCATTTCTTTAGAACACTTGTTTGTGTTTAGTTTGCTGTCTTTGCCCCGCACTACCGATTAGCACGGTTGGCTGTATACGGTGCGAGAAAAATTAAACATTCATATATATACACGTAAATTTTGGTAACACTTCTGGCAGTGGCACATCTTCACATCTGGTAATGGCACTTCCGGTTGAGTTTGAAGGCGTAGCAGGGGTGGGTGGGTAAGAGGGCTTGCACAAAGTGCGAACGTGGTCCATTGTCTTAAACGTCGCCGATTACATCTGTCTTCCTTGTCTCCTGGCAGTGATATATATATTCAATCGACGAGTACGCGCGAACGCAAACCGTCCATTGAAATCCCGTCGCCGCCCGCCGCGGTGGGAGCTGTTACCTTCAGCATGTCTACCTCGGCCTTGGTGCAGGTGGCGTGGTAGGACAGCACCTGCAATGGCGACAACGGGGTGGGGTGAACGTGACGGTCAACGCGGCGTTTAGCGCAGTGGTTCTCAGCACTTTTATTTGGCTACTGTGTACCCCTTGTTGTATGTGGACACATGTGAAGTAGGATGGACAACAGGAAAATTCAAAGTGTGTTGTTGCTGTTGTTCGGAAAAATGGAAGGAACCGGAAAGAGAGGAAGACCTAACAGAGAATGGCTTGGACGACGACATTAAGAGATTGGTGCCAGAAAGATGTGCGTACCGCTTGAGTATATTGGCACAAGACAGAGGAAAGTTTAAACAAATGACGAAATGTGCAGTGGACACCTATGGGCTATTTGCCCATGGATCGTGATGATGATCCTTGTTGAATTTTGTTTCAACCGAGTACGCCCCTTGCATGACCCAATATGGTTCTGAGAAAGAAATGTATAAATCACGAACATCAATATTGTAGCCAATCGTCCATTTTGTGAGGTATCTCTCTCGGAGTCGTTCTCTCTCTGAGGCGTCCTATCTCTCTCTGAGTCATCCTCTCTCTGAGTCATCCTCTCTTTCTCGGAGTCATCCTCTCTCTGAGGCATCCTCTCTCTCTCTCTCGGAGTCGTCCCCTCTCTCTCTACGAAATTGAGCGCATACTGTGCAGCGGCGGCGGCACAGGGTTACAAGTTGAAGTCATTATTATTCATGCTCATCTGAGCAGGGAATCACGTGCCACAGGGTCGTTTCTGTGCTAAAGCAGTGATGATTCACGCATCTCAACAAGTTTATTTCACCTACTGGTGAAATAAAAGATACCAACACAACTACTCAGCAGCACAATCAGAATCTTTATTTATACTGGAGGAATCCGATGAGCTATGAAGCTCTTTTTCACAGATGTCCAACAGCAATGGGGTGGGTGGGCATGGGGGGGGGGCGGTTCTTCCAGGATTTCTCTCAAAATGTGCGGTGATAATTGGGACCTGGGCCACCACAAGACCTGTCCATAGGGTATGGCGAATCAGGGTGACTGCCCCGGGCCCCACGCTTTGGAGGGTGGGCGACCGTGCTTCGACGTCACGGTGTCAGATGTAACACTTGTGCAACCTCCACTAAACCTGTGCGTGGTGGCCGCCACCACGCACAGGTTTAGTATGTACGCTGAACTTCTTTTGCACTATACGTAGCCAACCTTGTGCTGCGCTAAATCGGTGTTGCGGGTTAAAGGCCAACAAACTAAACGCAAAAAAGCAGTTCCAAAGAAAGGAGTTCTCAATCTCGATGATTTAAAAGTGACATAGCTCCAGCGGCTGGCTTCCTGGAAGGAAGAGCAAATGCGCCTGGGGTCTGGGAAAGAGCGCGCCACGCGTCAACGTTAATGATCAATGGGCGGCGGCGGTCGGCACTCACATCCAGAGCCACCGACTGCTTGGCGAAGGACTTCTTCACTTGATTGTACATGATGGTGTTATTGATTCCCAGTCCACAGAAGATGACAAAAGCCTGGCGATAAAACGGCGCACGACAAAAAACAGAAATCAACCGTAACGCTTTGCCCCGCGTTAAAGTTAAACCAACACAAAAAAGAAGAGAGAGAAGGGGGGAGGATAAGTACACTGATTGACGCCTTATTTCGTGAGAACAAATAAACAGCGGTGGAAGGGGAGAGAAGAAGAAAAAACATATATACCTCGAAAAGCCTTTGATCATCGTCGTCAAAAGGCTTGCCATCGATCCGGTTCAGAATCTGCGCCACACCTGCACACAAAAGCCACCACCACGGGTTTATATTCCAAAGTGCCTGGGGTTCGATTCCTGACTTAAATTAAACTAACCAAATTTATTTATTTTACCAGGTAAGGCCCACTGTAGCTATGTAGCTGTTTTTCAGAAGCGACCTGGCTATCACAAATGATAGCCCAATGAAGTGGCTTATCACGTGGAAACTTATATCAGGCAAATACTGTGAATGCACTTTGAATAGAAATGTGGAGGGGAAAACCGGAAGATCCCGAGAAAAATCCTAATAGACAGCAGGCGTCTGGGTCGGGATCGAACCCCCGATTTCCTGTATACCAGGCAAGGTAGTTAACATCTCATCATTATTAGCGACGTAGTTGAAGGCGGTATATGATGGCCATAAACAAGTCTATCCTGGGCATTCATTCAAGGGCTTGGGCAGCACTACGCCCGGCCGCCTTCGTCTCTTCAATGCTGATATTTACACACCGCAGAAGACTCATTTCAGGCTGAGTCGACATAAGGGGAGGCCCAGGACTGTTTCAAACATCCGCCGCTTGTTTTTTGGTCGTGAACGGGAATCGAACTTGGGTTCACCGGGTTTGTAGTGCAGTGCGATAACCGCGAAAGTGCTACACTACTGCTCACACATGCATGTGTGTGCATACAGACACGCACACACTGTATTTGCTTTTAGTTTCACTCTTTCGCTCTTGTCAAATTATCCTGTGCCCTGCAAGTTTTCTGTTGAAACAGAAGTCAGCTCCCGCTGCACGGAGAGGGAGCGCTGCGCGGCATGTCGTGGTGCAATACACGTGGTGGTGCTGGTGGCTGTAATGGTGTGTCCTCTTGCGACGTGACCTTTTGCGGGTTTCGGTCCATACCCGACCCGACCCGACCTCTAGTACCCGCACCGCTGTGGATTAGTTTATAGTGGGACCCCTGTTTTACTTGACGCACCAATGACTGTGTGCAGAGTATAACAAGGATTACTGCAAAATAACGGCGTTTATTTTGAACTAATTTTTTTATAGTTATTTACATTTTTATGGTTTGCTACTTCCCCGGGGGAGTGAAAATATCACCAGCAAATTATAGCAACCCAAATCACCATCATAACAACAGCAATAACAAACAACACAATCATATAACCCTACAATACTGGTTTCACGGATTTCTTCAAATACGAACGCCGACGGGTGACAACTGCGGAGTGTTCCCCCAGTTCTTGAACAGATTAGATAAAACGGTCCAACAACAACTCCAGCCTCAGCCGGTCACCTCCCCTTCTTGCCCGAGAGTGTCCCCAGATGTCGAAGCCCCCCCCCCAGTCTTCAGCATTCAAGAGGGCTACTTTCACGCCAGCGGTGGGTGGTTTACCGTGACGGTCCACTCCTGGGTGGCGGACAGGTGAACAGAACCATTGTCCACGGCAAGACTCCAGGTGGTTGCGCTTGTAAGCCAGCCATCTGCCTTCACCAACAATCCTGGCCCCAAGATGATGCTTGCTTACACGGCGCACAGTTGAGCAGACCAGTAGCCCGTTGAAGAACTACCAGTTGATTGTGCTTACGAGCCAGCGACCTGCCGTCACACCACTCCTGGGCTCCAAGACGATGCTTGCTGGGATGACACACTTGTGAGCATACCAGCAGTCAACAGCAGAACCCCAGTCGATCGCGCTCACAGGCCGCCAGCAAGTTGTCGTCACCACCACTCCCGGCTCCAACTTCAGACTGTCCTCTTCAAGATAGCCGCCTCGTCAACAATGACGCGGCAAAAATTCACCTCCATGACAAAATGGCCGCCTCACCAATACACCCGGGCACACCGCGGCTGTGACACAGTCTGAATATCTGACACCCTACGCTATGTTTCTTTTTCACCTGACACTTTGCTCAGCTCCCGAAATTTTTCTCTGTCACTACTTAGCTTATTCCAGGCCCCAATGGCCCTCACTCCAGGAAACCAAATGTTCTAACTCGCATTCTCTACGCCAGACGGCCGCCCTGCGTATCCCTCGCTCCTCGTCCCTCCCCTGTCACCTGGTTCCCCTTTCCCAAACTCCATCCACTCCTATCAATCCGAACCCCTCACCGATCAGGAGACACCCTGCCCACAAACCATCCCTGTCCCCAAACCACAGTGGTCCAGGCAGTCAGAGCCACCCAGCCACAATCTCACGGGGAGGCGAGTGATGATAGCCCGCGAGATGCAACTCGCTAAGCCCCAACGCACCCCCAAGCACTGCATCATTAGCAGGCGTGGGTGAGCGAGCACAAACAATGGCTAATGTAACATTGGACAGTCTCAATCCACTACTGGTTGAATGCCTCCCCCACGCCATGTCGGTCCGGGGGGGCGGGGTTGTCTGGTCATACTTTACCATGCTGTTTAGTGGGTGTCGATGTTGCCAGGGTGGTTAACCCATGACTGGTTCGGACGCTGGCCGCCATGGTCGAGAATTGAACTCAGGTGGCCGAGGTTCACAGGGCAGGAGAGCACGATCAACCGCACCATGTTCACCACCCAATTCCATTTTCATCATCACCACCATCAGCCGAGGTCAATCCACTGCTGGATGAAGGTCTACTCCAAGCTGCTGCCACCAACCACTTCTGACGATCCCACTATGTGAGAAATCCACCCAGCACCCGCACACGAACGGATTTAATCACTCCATCTCCTTCGGTGGGGTTCGTCCTCTTGAATGCGGGTCATATAGTTACCATACTCACTCAGTAGGGGGCACAGCTGGTGCATCTGCCAGTCATCTCAGTCAGTCAACCCATGGCACCTGCTAGGTCTGTCCCGTGACCCCTCCTGCCAGCGAGCCTTCGACACTTCACGTGGCCCTCGGAGTGCACCTCGCCTGGCACAGGCGCCGTGTTGACGGAGCTTGAGTCGGCGAGACAGCCGCACGTGTGATGGCGAGAGACTCCGAGTCGCTATTGAACGGCCACTTAGGTGGCCTTCACCAGCCTCCCCCGGGCGTCCGCTGGGAGCTGTAAAATGAACACTACCACTGCGAGCAGATGTGGAGGAGGAAGCAGGAGGCAGTGCCGTCTCGGCAGGAATTAATTAAACTCCATCAAATGGGGAGTGTTTCACAAACTCCCTAGGAAAACGCACGCTTCGACTTCGTGACCTCGTTGACCTCAGGGCATCTGCGTTTCTCCTCCCAATACTGCTTGCCAAAGCACCTCACTGGCAAGCAGTGGCGGCTCCTGCAAAATCTCTCACGGGGGGCAAATGTCTGGATGATTGATAACGATAAGGTCCACCCATGCAATGGATAAATTAACAGCTTAAGCATGTAAAGGCAACTTCACTTCTTTAATATTAATGAAAAATAAAGTGACTCTTACAATACATCTTGTTTGTTTCTATACTCACTATTATTACAATCCACTCAGTTTCTTTTATTAAAGATTCCACTAGGTGGCAACAAATAATATTGTTGACTGAAACGTGCTTACGTATGATGACGTAAGCACGTTAGTGCGAGCCCTCCCGGAAGCCATAGAGAATGCATTGCAGCGCCCGCCGTTCAAAAAAAAACATCTTTGAATGTAAGTCTATGGGAACACTCTGGGCGATTCTCAGCCGGAGTGAAATCGCGCAAAAAGAGGCGGTACTCCACAGAACGTGACATGACGCTGATTGGACTATATCCAGAGGCACAGTAACGGCGAGCGTAACTCTGTGGTTGAATGACATTGGTGGTGCGTCGCCCAACGCCCTAATGAAGAAACCGCCCCTGCTCGCAAGCGAAAAGTTGTGTGTCCAAGTCCCGGTCGGGGATCAATGAAGGTTATTATCATCGTCACCGTCGTCGGCATCAGCAATGATCAATCCCCTGCCGGACGAAGGCATCCATCCACACGCCAAAGCCGTCTGCCCCCTCCCTGAACGATTTTGCAATGCGGCGATCGATCGAGCCTCCTCCTGCACACCCGAGGGGAGTGAGGGGGGAGTTCGTCGCCGACAAGGCAGAAGCGTTCCTGAGCCCATGATGCACGGCCCTGGTGATTGGAACTCTTCATGAAGAATGAGTGACGGGTCCTGGGGAATCTATTAACTTGATCACGTAGCTCGGCGACAGAGCGAGCAACTCGCAATCACAAAGGGGGGGGGGGTTGACTTAGCCCATCAACCCACTGAGGTCGATTAAAATCACAACCAATTTGTGGGGAAGTCTATACCGTGTAGTGGTTAGTCTGTTCTGTTTGCGTTAGCCATTGAGCGATGATGGGCATGAGGGCACGAACGGGACTTACCGATGATCTCGTGGCTGCTGTTCCAGATTGGCACACACAGCACCGAGCAGATGTGAAATCCGGACATTTGGTCTGCGAGCTGTGTCCAGACGCATGCACACATGCATACACGTACAAGCGGTATCGGTGTATATATGTATGTTGAACTTCTTTCGAACCGTACGTAGCCAACCGTGCTAATCGGAGGTGCGGGGGAAGTACAACAAACTAAACACAAAAAGCAGTTCTAAAGAAATTAGTTTTTAATCTAGATTTAAAAGTGCATAACTTCAATGGCTTCATAACATCGTAAGGAAGAGCGTTCCAGCCGTCCACAGAAGCGCATCTGAAAGTGCATGGTGCGGTGACCATCTTTGTTTGATCACTAGCCAGAAGCTGCTGCTGCAAGGATTACCGATGTTAGCATACTCATGCACCATGAATGAGTTTCTACTGCTCATCTCACATTTATAGCCCTGACCCAGTGGTAGAAACTCCACATCCATATGGCGGGGGGCGAGTCTATCCATAGGACAAACATATTTTCTTGATATCCCCTTGCTTGACCACCTCTGTTTTGAAAGACTGTGTTGATGATTTCGGTGGCACCGTTAGCTGAGCTCGAATCGTGATTGGTAAGTTTGCCCATTCCAACCCTCTGTGGGAGGGTCGCTTAACCCACCATCCATTCGAATCAGGTTTCTAAAATAATAATTAAGTACCGCTTTGTGGGAAAGTCAGCGGCAGTTGTCTTATCGAACAATTGGTCCCTACCATAGCAATGTGGAATTTCATACGTTAGCTTAGGATGTTAGATGACCACTGCTCCGAAGCAATATCGATTTTTATTAAACTAAACAATTTTTTATTTTACCAGATAAGCCCACTAAGCTATATAGCTCTTTTTTGGAAGTGACCGGACCACAAATGATAGCTCAATAAAGTGGCTTATCACGTGGAAATTTATTATTCTAAATGTGGGGGGGGAAACCGGAGGACCGAGATGAAAATCCACGTGACCACGGGGAGAGAGACACGCAAACTCCAAATGTACAGGTATCAGGGTAAGGATCGAACCCGCGACCTCTTGTGTACCGGGCGAGGTAGTTAACATCTCGCCACCATGGCGCCATATTATTATTAAAGGTAGCAAAGCAGAAGCACTTGACATCAATAAGACAAAGCAGCAGCTGCAGAACGAGGGAGAGGTGAACTCAGGTGGGAAGGTGAGATGTGTCAAGCACCTTCATCGCGTCTCAAATCCATGAGCGCAGAATCTTTGACTGAGCTCTCGGAAGCGCTTTCGCTCCATACGCCACGGTTTTGTGCGGCCCAAGGTCCGGCGTTTCGCTCCTAATGCTGGGAACGTCTTCAGGAGCCCATATGGGGCGAGCTCACTTCTCTGCGGGGGCTCCCGAAGCCCGCGGAGCGAAAAACACCGGACGGGGCTCGGTGTGCCCAATATCGAAATCTGAGATCCACACCGCTCCGCCGCGGCGCGAACCTATGCGGTGGCGGTGATGGGCCTCGACTCGGTCATTGGCAGGTGAGTGGCGTTGGTGGAGGAGGAGGGGTGGGCCGTTCGCTCACCTTTGTGTCGAAGCGTGGGTCCTGGTAGACGTCGCTGATGTTGACGGGGAGGCCTGTGGAGGCCACCAGCTCGGCGATGCTATTGTTGATCAGCCAGTCAGAGCGCGTGGCCTTCTCCAGGCTGCCTTCACACCGGGGGGAGGGCAGCCGTTACGTGACGTACAAAGGTGACAATGTCTAAGTACGACGACAGCTTTGCGCTCCCGATGACGCTGCCCCCGGCGAGTTTGTCGGCTGCCGCGCTTCTGCAAATGTCGTTCGGCCGCATGCGAGACGTCAGACATCATCGTACGCAATGGCAGGCGGTGCAGCACCACAAGCCCCCCCCCCCCCCTGCTGAGAGCTGCTTCAACGCGCGTGAACGCACGGTGAGCCGAAGTATCGACTGTGATCCTATGAACGAATCGCGATGCGTCGTCGCACCCCGAGAGTGCACGATTAATGATTGGCCTTGGCATGAACTGTTTAGTGCGAGGCTGAGAGCAGTGCAGGAATTCATGTGGCGGAGGGGAGGAGTAGGGGGGTTGATCAGCAAAGTTGATTTCACGACGTGGGTCATGAATTGATATTGGTGATCGCATGCACACTTGCGAGGCCATCCCTAATGGTGTAAAAGTGCAGCAGGAGGAGATGTATGTACAGTACGTACGTATGGGTTAACTTCTTTTGCACCATACGTAGCCAATCGTGCTAATTGGAGGTGCGGGCGAAGGACCGCAATGAGATGGTGAAGTCTTGCCGTGCGATGCTCTGATGCAACGTTTGGTAACGATCAGCTGGGGAATGAGACATCATCACCTGCTCTCCGTGTCGCCGCTGCACTTGGGCGACATCAGTTCGAAGGTTTTGCTGAATTTGACAACCTGCAGAGAGGCAACGGGCATTCAACGATTTTTTTTCTTCTTACAGGACTACAATTCGGACATAAATAGTTTTGAATCATCAAGTGGCTTAATACACAACAACAACCGTAATTCGCCACTAAGTGGCGGTGACGTCACCACAGCACTTAATGCCAGGCTATGTGCACTTTGAGACCACGTGCAGTGTCGAACGCTCGGTGACAGGAGATCACGGGACAGACCTAGGTGCCATGGATTGACTGACCAAGATGACTGGCAGATGCATCACCTGTGTGTTTATCACAATATGACAAACACTTCGAGCCAATTAGGACTAAATTTCGATTTAAAGCTTTCGTGACTGCAGGAATTCATCTTCTTGGTTCTTTCGGTAAAGTCACGTAGAAGGGAAGTAATAAAATAATAAAAATAAAACATAAAAAGAACCAAGAAGACCAATTAGGACTGTAATTCACAAATAAATAATTTGCCTACTCTTCTTATTAAGGGATACATGCCCGTAAAATACCATGGTGTTATGACATACGTGGACTAACTGCCTCTCTCCATGCACGCTGGGATGGCAATAGTGCAAAGTCAGTTTCATGCATGCCATCAAACTATTCCATAAACAACCCATATTTTTTTTTACCGTACATAACCCCTTTCCCATTCGGAGACGTCTGCAAGTTGCAGGGTGGGTCGTGTTCACTGCTGAATCTCGGATCGCTCAAGCGGTTGAGCGTTAATTTTATTGAGACATTATACTCGCCGCAAAGAACCGTAGCGACACGACCGCACTCTACAATAGCTGGCGCCAAACTGTGCCACATGCCCTCCCGCATGGCCTTTTACTTCTGATTCTGGTCTAACGACGTATGTGAAAAACTGATGACGTACACATACGTCATTGGAAATTGAAAAGGGATCATTATCTTCACAATGTCACGATCGCCGCATGTGTTATATGGACGATATCGGAACATTTGACCGTGAGGTTGCCCAATTTGCGGAGCCGCCTGCTCACCGGCGACTCGATGTCCTCCAGCAGAAGCACGGAGCAGCGCTCGCACTTGAGCAAGGCCTGGGCACGGTGCATGATCTTGTGGACAACCTTCTCCAGGTGTGTCTGCTCTTCGAACAGGTCGTTGACCACCTCCAGCAGGGCCTAGAAGTAATTCCGCGTAGCAGGCCACCCACTCCCGAATGACACTTTGTCACTTCCATCATTCACCCGGCCTTGTAGCACAAAGGTCTAGCTAGGTGGCACCGGTGTTGAGACCAACTGACTCATCATGGGAAGGTTACACTTTCAAAAAATGTGGTTCAGTTGGTCGCCTCGGCCCATCATCACTTTGGAGTTCGATTAAAGATTCATAATAAAAGGGCCTTTGTCCAATTGGCTGCCGAATTAAGGCCTCCCCATGCTGTGTCAGTCACGAGGGTTGTTTGGCCATACTTCACCACGCTGGTCAGTGCGTGTTTGTGAAGGGGGACCCAGGAGCAGTTCCGATACCACTCACCACTCATGTAAGCCATCGCCGCGAATCAAACTCATGCGACAACACTGCTCCTCCAACAGCATTTAAGGGGTCAGCGTAATGAGCTTCCCTTCGTGGGGAGTAACATTCGTGGTAGTGTGGACAGACTTGGTCCTGTCATGGAAATATAGAGTTGTATTCTCACTGGCTCCAAGCTGCCAATGCTCATTTGAGTAGAGGGAATACTTTGACTTGAAACTATAAACATGCAGGAAAAGGAATTCCCCTTCTCAGATTAGTGTATGGCACCAAAGAATTTCAACATACGTGCAACATACATACATATATAGAAACAGAAGGCAGAGACATCGCTTTTCAACAATCAGCGTTTACAAATTGAAAACATGGCTTGAGAGTTGTTCTGCCCCATGGCAGGTATGGGGGTGTTGATTACACAGGAACTTCCTGATATGCTGTTGAGTTTGGTCACGTGACCAGGAAGTTACGATTTAACATTCTCTAAGCCATGAAGCAGGGTGTCAGCCATTACACGAGTGCAAGGTGGAGGCACAAATAGCGTCTCAGTGAAGACAGGTGCATCTGTTCATTGTGAGACTTTAAGAAGCATTGTCTGTAAGTTCGTATATGTTCTTATAAGACTGGGAATGCTGTATAATGTTGGGATTGCCGTTATAATGCTGTAAATGCCTTTATAATGCTGTTAAATTGTTACGATAAATATGAGGCCTAGTTAACAACGAAGCCTGCCACTTGCATTATTGTGAATGTTACTTGTAATTTAATAAGTCGAGTCAGACTTGTGCCCATGTAACTTTAATGCGATCTTGAGAGCAAGGATGAAGAAGTATCTCATCCACAGTTCAGTGTTATGTGCAGCGCTGTGCATTTAGGCTGCAGTATGGTGATTACACAAAGTGACCTTATTCAACACAGTAGCTTATTCTCTTGTATAGCTATTCAGTGCTAATGTAGGTGCCTGGTCTATCCAGGACCTATTGTTGAGTTTCATTTTATTTAAGACAATGTTATAATGCTGCAGTGTTCATTGTATTGATATTCCAAGTATTAACAGATGCTGTATTTTGTGCTGTGTTTTCCATCAGTTTTACCTTGTTCAATTAATTAAATACGTCGGAGTCGGATGTTCACCCTGGCTCTGAAAGTTTATTGAATGCGAGATTAACTACTCCGATAGTGGTGCAACACAGCGCACAGTGAGGCCGAGACAAGAGTCAATTGGGATTAAAGGCCCCTTTCGTGAGAAGGAAAACTAACAAAAATACAGTCCAAATGTCATGACCGGAAAATAATTCCATGGAATGTTAAAACTTACGGTGTTAAACGACAAAATCCACACGAAAATATATTGCGCTAAATATAAAACATGACTGCTCTGCTTACAATCACACACCGAACACGGCAGCAGCTACATATATGGGCAGTTTCTATCGGCAGGCATAACTACGGCAAATACATAGTTTTTTTTATTAAAAGAAACGCCCAGTTATTATATTTTAACAACTCGAGGAATACATTTAGACCTGCTACATTGCGTGGGCGGAAGTGTGACTGTTGGTGTCTCGTAAAAGTGGGTTGATGCCATCTAGAATCAGGCCAATATATTTTAAGGCATTAGTGACGCCAGTATATTTTCAGGCATTAATGATGCCAGTATAATTTAAGGCGTTCGTAATGCTGGTAGATTTTTGTTTGTGTTAGTGACACCAGTACTTGTTTAAGGTGTGAGTAACACAAAAAAAATCGCTCATTGGAGAGAAGACCAGAGAGGAAGTGACCAACAACACTGGCGCCCAATAGAAAAAAATTAATAAGCGACGTTTCGGGCAATGACCCTGTATTTAATCTTTTAGGGCAGTGTTGTTGACAAAGTGATGAGTGTTTTTTGCGTGTTTTCGTTAACTGTGCTTGTGCCGCCACTGCCAACGCAGCAGCATTACCACACACTTTATTTAATTTTGTAAGATCAAGTGAGCTTTCCTGGGGAGCAAAGAGGCAGTTCATTGAAACTATAAATATTTTTTTTATTTTACCAGGTAAGGCCCACTGAGCAATGTAGTTCTGTTTCAGAAGCGACCTGGCCACAAATGATAGGTCAACGAAGTGGCTTATCATGTAGAAATGTATAGCAGCCAAATACTCTAAACGGGTGTTTATTCTAAACGTGGAAGGAAAAACTGGATGACCCGGAGAAAAATCCACCTGACCACAGAGAGAATATGCAAACTCACGACCTCCTGTATACCAGGTGAGGTATTTAACATCTCGCCACCATGGATTGATTGGCAATGAGCTGGGTTTTTTTTATTTGGGAGCTCTGGACGTGCCCAGCGATTAATCAAAACATTGAACCGTATCTGATCGGGCACCTTAAGAAGCGTACCACACAAATCCATCATTGAGATTCCATGGGGTTAAGGCACAGATAAATTGTCCTTTGAGGTCCACTCAAGTCCTATGAATTTTTTTTGTAAACAATAAGCGGCACGTAACCCAAAAGTGGTGATGGTGGGCGGGGGGGGGGGGTGCGATCATTTTCAACCATGGACACGTAGTACGGCCGGGTATCCCCGTTGTCTTGGTCTCTTTCTCTCCGACTCTCTCGCTCTCTCTGGGGGTGGGTGCATGCATGGATCGCGTGGAGTGGGTCGAGAGCTGTTCACCCGACTGCGGTCGTATTCCTTGCGGGACGCGGCGAACAGCTGAGCGTTGGCGATGCCGATCCCGCAGAAGGGCAGGTACATCTGCAGCACCTGCGTGGACAAATCATGCGCCGTGATTTTGGTGAGCGGCCTGTTCAATACACCGAATGGGACAACACAAAACTCACTTGGTCCTTTTGGGGTCATCTGGTCCAACACCATGTGAGACTAGGCTCTAAGAAAAGCTGTCTCGGGTGTGGACCAATCAATTTCAGGACAGTGCATATGTAGTGGTGATATGCGCTGTCAGTAGGGATCGTGTGGTAGCGCGTGGTGATTGGCTGTATATTGGTGACACGCGCTGGCAGTGAGGGATCATGTGGCAGCGCGTGGTGATTGGTTATGTGGTGGTGACACACGCTGGCAAAAGGGATCGTGTGGCAGCGCGTGGTGATTGGTCAACTAGAGTGGGTGCTCACATCGCGGTCCGCATAGGCTCCGCCCCCTCGGGAGCGGAGGACTATGAAAGGCGATGCGCGCGGGCGCTCGGGGAGTTGGTAACCAGTGAAGACGGAAGACGGAGGAGGAAGAGATAGGGTCCTGAGACCCCTAGCCCCGCTGTCCTTGTAAGGGCCGGGACCCTGTGTGGCTCAGAGGCAGGACCTTGGGACCCGCGGCCGGACATCCTTGTGAGGGCCAGGCTGCGGGACCCAGTGGTCGGGATCCATACCCCAGCTGGAGTGGGTCTGTGAGTTCCCCTGGAAGCTACAGGGCTGGAGAGCCCGTGTGTGTGTAGCCGGGTGGAACGTGTAGCGTGAGCTGTAGTTGTCCACACATGTTATTGTGGCTAAGGAAGGTGTTAATAAAGTGTGCTACCCGTCAAGTGGTCTCCCACCGTAATTTACAATATTACACATACATCATCAGTTATGTTTTTTGTTTGCATTCCGACTGCAGGTATTGTGGTCAATGCAAACATGACTCCTTGTAAAAAAGGTGTCAGTTTTGTTGCCAGATAAAAGGGTAAAAATTTTTTTATCAAAAACTCACTTGCTCTACTGTATTGATAAGGCAAAGATTCCCCCGTATAGCCATAACAGATCTTTTTATCGGCGGGCAAGTGCTGTTGGAAAGTGGCAGCTATGAAGGGCGAAACAGCACACGAGAAGGGGTGGGTGGCCAGCTACCACGCCCGGCTGCCCTTGTCCAGGACCGGTTCAGATCATCGTCACTGACGTTGGTGGCTGTGAGCGGGAATCGAACTCTGGTCGCCGGGTTCGTTGCACTGGGAGATAACAACTGCGCCACTGCTTGCTGTATAATCATGATCATCAGCAGCTGGGATGATCTTTCCACTGCTCGATAAGTAACAGCATCCCTAAGCCGTGAAACCATCTCATGCACTCTTGCGATTAAACAATCCATCGGGCTCCTGCACACAGCTTAATCTCATCAGCTGCCATATCAGCGTCAGGTGATGTTGACATAACACGATAATAGGGATTATTTTAGTACACACAACCGACAGGATGCACAAGTGCAATGTGCTTGAAAATTGATATTTACATTCGATGAGTCGTACTCAGATTGTAAACGTGGCTATGCTCTCCGACACACCGGTGTTGCTGTACTAGTGACGAATTGGCATGTTCTGTTTACGTGACAAATCTTATTAATTGGCTGTGTTGGGTGGTGGCGGAGGATAGTGGTCGCGAAAGCCTACTACGTGTTAAAACAACAAAACAACCCGACACACAGTCGGGCAACAGCCCTTCCGTCACAGCACAAAGAGAGGCCAGAGATGCAGGCGACTAGGGACGTCGAAAATAGGCGACGTGTCAGACAATGCCCCTCTGCCTCTGGAAATCTCGACCTCTCTGGCCTCTCCACGTGCACTGAAGAAGGGTGACTACCCGAAACATCGCCTATATTGATTTTATTTTATTTCTAGTGCAGTGCTAATGATGGGTGTGCCACAGTGATTTGTGTTTGTTGTTCGCTGTGCGTATGCACCACTGCCAATGCAGCAGCGGCGGCGGTAGCATCGCCAGAATACTGCGTGTGGTTAGATTCAGCGTTAGCTGATGCTCAAGTCGGGTGGCGCATTGCGCTGCTTTACTGAAGGCTGACTGTTCTGCCTCACGGCAGGGGTTTTGCCTCACGGCAGATGGGGGGGGGGGAGGCGTATGCACACAGGAATTTCCTGTTTTTGAAGCTAATTTTGGTCACGTGACCAGGAAGTTGCGATTTGAGATTCCCGCTCAACCACGCGGGCGTCGGCCATTACATGTGTAATATGTCAATTATGGCGGGAGACGAGTTGACGGGGCAGCACTCATTTATTAACATTAATATAACATTAACAAGTACAGCCGAGCTACAGTCTACGCTACGCGTGTCTAACCCGGCTACGCTCTCGGGCCTTCCGGCCCCGTATCTCCCAAGGGGAGATATCAGACCAACCCTAGCCGGGGTATGGGTCTCGACCACTGGGTCCCACAGCCCGGCCCTTACAAGGACGTCAGGCCGTGAATCCCAAGGTCTCGCCTCTGAGCCACACAGGGTCCCGGCCCTTACAAGGGCAGCGGGGCTAGGTGTCTCAGGGCCCTGTCTCTTCCTCCGTTTTCTGTCTTCACTGGTTGACAACTCCCCGAGTGCTGCTGCGCATCGCCTTACATAGCCCTCCGCTCCAGGGGGCGGGGCCTATGCGGACCGCGATGTAGACACCTGCCTGTGGACCGCGATGTAGCCACCCACCACGCGCTGTCTCACGATCCCCCCCGCCAGCACGTACTGCCTCTACACATGCATAGTTCAAGATGGCGGCACACATCGCGTCCCAGTGAAGCCAGCCGCAATTGTCCATTGTGGGACTTTAAGAAGCATTGTCTGTAAGTTCGTTTATATTCTTATAATATTGGCAATGTTGTTATAATGTTAGAATGACCGTTATAATGATGTCAATGCCTTTATAATGCTGTTAAATTGTTATGATAAATACGAGGCCTATTTAACAACGAAGCCTGCTATTTTCCTTATTGTGAATGTTACTTGTAATTTAATAAGTCGAGTAAAACTTGTACCCAAATAACTATATTGCGATCCTGAGAGCAAGGACGACAACATATCTCATCCACAATTTAGTGTTATGTGTAATACTGTACATTTGGGGTACAGTGTGATGAATACACGATGTGCCTTTATGTAACACAGCAGCTTATGCTCTGGTATAGTTATTCAGTGGTAATGTAGGGGCCTGGTCCATCCAGAATCTATTGTTTAGAAAAAAGTTATCTAAGACAATGTTATGATGCTGTGGTGTTCTTTCATTGTGTTGGTGTTTCCGGGTATTAACAGATGCTGTATCTGTGCTGTTTTCTTACCAGGTTTACCTCGTTAAATTCAATAAATAACGTTTGGAGTCGGACGTTCATCCTGGCTCTGAGGGTTTATTGGACACGAGGTTAACTACTCAGCTGGCGGTGCAACGCAGCGCACAGCGAGGCAGAGACACTGACGACGGCACACAACATTCGTTCAATGAGGACGATCAATGAAGGGGAACCAGTTCAGCTGTTTTCGCATTGATTCATTCCTAAGCATTGTCTCTGCACACGTTTCTTGGACGGCGCCAATCGCTGCAACCCCCCCACCCCCCACGGCGTTTTGACCAAATCGCCTGGAATGCGCCCGATTCTCGCCAGACCTCGGAAGATTTCGAAGGCTAGAGCTTGGACAGCGAGCACACAACGATAGGCCACCCAAAATGCAAAAAACACAGGCGTTATAGGCTTTTGCGAGGCTACGCTGCGGTCAGCAGTGCTGCAAGACTCCATTGTTATACGCTCCCCGTTGTATTCTTCCCGACATTACCAACTCACACTGACCGGCGTGGTGAAGTATGTTGTTCAAATTACCACCACCACGCGAACATTGCGGGTAGGCCCTCGTCCCGCAGTGTATATATATATGTGCATGACATTCTGTGTGATGTGGTCATCTGTTACAACGACGAATTCTTTGGTGGTGCTACTGCTGGCAATAATGCAGTACAGACAACAAAAACAAATTCGTAGCATACGTGCTATGAAGAAAGGACCATTGCTAACAACGTCGCCTGTTCTATATATACTTTTTGTATAAACTATGAATGTTTTTATTTTATTTTTCACCAGCTAAAGCCTACTGAGCTGGATAGCTCTTTACTCAGAATTGACCTGGCCACAAATGATAGCTCAACAAAGTGGCTTATTACGTGGAACTTTAGAGCAGTAGCCATTTACTCTGAACGCACGATGGCCATTCTAAATGTGGAGGGGAAAAATCGGAGGACCCCGAGAAAAATCCATACGACCACGGGGAGAGTGAGCATGCATACTCCAAATATACAACAGGCGTCAGGGTCGGGATCGAACCTACGACCTCCTGCATACCAGGCGAAGTATTCAACATCTCGCCACCGTGCCGCCCCTTTTTTTCTTCTAAGACCCCAGTCTCGTTGTTGACGGGTGCGTTTCGTTGTTGCTGCAGACCACAGATAGACAGCGAGCTTTATTTGGTACAGCAGGCGATTGCGCGTCGAGAGCAAACACCTCTTTGTCAATGGGCGGGGGGTGAGATCTGGACCAAAATAAACACCGAGGAACATGCACAACGGGCGGCGATCGCTGCCTCTCCCATCGCCCTAGCCGAGGATATCACCGGCACGAACCTCGTGACTGATGTCCGTGCTGGGGAAATAAAATCCCTCCTGTCCCCCCCCCCCAAAAAAAATCTCAAAAGCCAGAGGGGAAAACGTCGACTTTATTGCATCCATTGCTCACCGCCGTGAGCTGGTAATTGGAGGAGTCCCCCGCTCTGATTGGTGCTGAATGGCCCAAATAAAAACAGCCGCCTCATCCGCAAGGGAGCCTCCGGTGCATGGCCGGAGACGAATCAAAGGGGTCAGGTCGCCGGAGCCATGGATTTCTGTCGATGCCCAGGGAAATTAAACCGGGACGTGCGAGCGGTGCGCTGCACGCTTCTGGGGGGCGGAGGATGTGCGCGACTGGAACGATTACGCGGTGCTGAGATCGGAGGGGGGGGGGGCTAGGGCGGGGGGGGCTAGGGCA